ACCATAAGATCAATATAATATTCTACAAAGACATCATCATTATAGCTAATTCAGGTACGCTTTCGTATTTAGTTTACAACATGTTTATCAGTATAAAATTACATTTATGTTTGATAGTTATAATCAAAATCAGGATTATAATTATTATTAATTTTTTCAACATTGACAACATGGCACAAGATAAAGCCATTTGAAATCAGCCAATTATGATATATGAGATGTTAAAACACGTATAATTTGATTGAATAACAATAATAAAAAAAAGTCACATGGGTAGTTCAAATTTTCACATTCATGTGTAGTTTAATATAACAAATGTTAATGGTGAATACTCATGTGATATGATTGTTATGTGCATTGTATGAGAAATGAACAGTGGTTGTGATGGTTGGCGTAATAGTTGCTCTTTTCGAACGTATCATGTCAAAATCAAAACCCAGCATGACAAAAGTTTTGAGAAGAGAAAGAGAAGTTAGGGCGATGAAGTTTTAACTTTGGACATAGAAGATTCGCAAAATGTCTAATCAAACACAGGTCATGATTCTATAGGTTCTTATATATTAGGAAATTAAACGTGAATTCATCAAACTGTAAACAAGGTTAAAGCCACCTCATTCATATCAATGTTTTCAAATCCTCCTTGTCGTGCATGTGAATGTATTAACAAGATGATGATACGTCTTCAAAATATTAGCCACTCTTTAGGTAATGGATCTACTTTAGCTTGGTTTTACTAATTGTATCAATCCTATAGTCTTATGATAATCATTTTACAAAGTTTAATTATATTAGGCATCGCAAGCATTCTTTGGTTCTTAATTCTTCTCCTAATAAACCTGTCTAGTTAGGTCTTTCGTATTTGGTAGTTGTGAACTATCACCTCTCAAAATGATGAAAAAAATTACCCCATTTTGACTTTCAATGCGTGAGTGGACATGAATATTCTCAACCACGCAATTCTCTTGGATAATTCCAATAAAAATTCACTAATTTATCTCAATTATTATTTTCTTGCATCACTGTGATTAAAGGAGGTATATTATTTGTTGCTACAAGATTGGTTTAATACCCATTCTTTATAAATAATGCATATAAAACTAATTAAATTCATTATTTAATTAATTTCAATACTTAGATAATGTACTGATCTCATTCGTCACAGCTTTATCCTTAAAAGATATTTCGATAGGTTAAAAGAGGAGAATAGATATAAATTATCCTTAACTTTAATTTTTAAGTTATATGAGACTCATTAATACACTAAAACATAGTTTCTAATCGAAAACTAAGAAATATTAAAATAAAACAAGACTTAACTCTCATTCTCACAGTTGGCGTCAATGTTTCTTCTAGGAACGAGAGTATCACACTCTCGTATTTGCGTTATTTTAATTTTTTAAAACAATTTTTTATTACTAACTATTATTTCCTATTCAACTACCTTAATAGATGATATTTTAAAAAAAATAATAAATGAAATTTATATCAATTATGTATAAATTTAACAATGAAAAACTATACTCTATATACTATCAAAATATAATCTAATGCATAATTTTGTTTTTACATCAATTAAACTTCTAACTCATAGAATCATTCATGTAACATCTATTTTTTAAAATTAAAAAAAATAAAAGTGGTTTTTAAAAACCATAAACAAACCATCTCCAAATTAAATTGACTATTTTTATCAATTTGAACATGATGTATTAATCCAATTCTTCGATAAATTGTTTTAAATCCCAATTCTTCCATTATTTAAAAGCGTGAAAGCCCTTAACATTTTTGTCTAATTCGAAATCCCTCCCACTACTTTCGTCAATCTCCTATTATGAAGCTTAATGTTTGCATATAAAATTTTATAATATTTAAGATATTTAAATATATTAAATTCAAATTATTTTCATTCTAAATTATTGATTTTTAAGTTTTTTTATTGGGATAAGATAATTTAAATTTAATAATTTTTTATCTAAATAAAGTATTACAATTATAAAAAATAATTTAAATATAAAATAATATCTTCTTATTAGAAAAATATCAATTAATGATTTCCCATCAAGATTTTTTTAATTAACTTTGGTAAAATAAAATAAAATTCTCATTCGTCATTGAGATTATTTGAACTAATGTTAATCACAATTATTTATACTGACATTGATGAGAGTTATTGTTAATTTTTTATTTTATGCTGTAAATTGAGAGGTTTTTTTAGACTTTTCTTTAATGTTAGATAAAAAAAATCTATGAATGATATTGGTAAAAAAAATCATACTCACAGCTGACCAAAATTTTTCTCAATTAACATAAAAAAATCTGATAAACTTTTGACTAAAAGTACTTCGGTGTTGTTAATTGATTTTTTTAAATAAAAAATAATAATTATAATTAACAACACTCAAAAAAGTCTAATTGACATGTGCTAAAAAGTATTATGCTCAATATTAAACGATATGATTGTGACCAATGTTGAAAGAGATAAAATTAATTTTGATAAAAGAGTCAATTATAATATATTCTCAATTAACATTAAATAAAAATAATTAATGTGACATAAATCAAAATAATTATATTTAAAAATACTGTTGATATTGATTAATAAAAATTTAACTAAAATTATTAAAAAATAACATCTACAATCATTAATAATAAGAAAAACCCCAAATAACATATTTTATTGTAAAATAATTTAAAATAAAAAAGAATTGATGAGTAAACTTCCGATTATGTATTTATTAGATGATTATGATTAGTGGACTTCATATATTCGGGTAAACAAACCATTTAATTAGTTGCTTATATTATGCAAATATTAAGGGTTAATTATTTTATGATCCAAAGAGAAAAACATTGAATATTTTAGATGGTTAAAGTAAATTAATTTCGTGACCTAGTTTGAAGCAGTATTGAAATAAGTTTAAATTAACTTAAACCTATTTTAACACAAAGTTTTATGTAAAAAATCTTAAATAAACTATCAATTAAGTTTATATATTATATATATAAACATAATTTATAACTTATTTCTTATGGTACAACCTTAACTTAAATATATAAATAAAATTCCACATCTATACTAATATTATTGATGTGAATTATTTATTTATTTATTTATGAGTTTTATAATTAATTTATATATTAATAGTTGATTTTTTTCTCTCTATGTCTAATAACGGTTAATTTAAATTGATTTCAGAAAAATATGACGTAAAATTGATTATTTGGGTTGGTTGAGTTGACATTGAGTTCGTAATTTTATTTTTTTCTTATATGAAACACCATTTTTTATAGTTATTTTTATTAATTTGGATCAATATTGGGGTGATTTTTTTTTCAAAAACATTATTTTCTAGAGTTATCTTTTATAATAATTAGACAATATATTTCAGAATAAATTATAATCAATTAAATATTATTTTAATTAAATTATACTTTCTAAATTATTTATTAGGTTATAAATTCACAAAAATAATATATGAGAATAAAAAATTCATAATCCTTTATTATTGCTATCGAATTATAAGTATCAAATTTAAAAGAATAAAAAAAATATACAAATCATAGTACTTTATCATTGCTACCAAATTATGAGTAATAGGTTTAATAACTTTACCTATATTTCATGTTTTTTTTCTTATAATCGTTTTAAAAATCTTCATTTAGATAATAATTAATCAGTTATTTATATATAATTTCTTGAAACCCAAAAGTCAACCCTTATAATTTAGATATTAATTCCCCATTCACACCCATCAGTCCTTAAAATCACAATTGTAATATTCAATCATAATGAATAAACACTAACACAATGGTCGATCTTTGACCCAATAAAATTTGTAAAACTATATTCAACTGCTTAAATCTATTTTCAACCCAATTTTTTTTCACCCACATGTTAACTCACTGAAATCCTCCAAATATTATATATATGTTTAATAATTTTATTATTATTATTATTATAGGTCAGATCTCATACCCACTTTTTTAGAGTCCTGTTTTTTATTTTTTTCATTAATATCGTTTCTTTATAACAAAAAAGAAGATTATGCAACTTATACAAGCAACTGTGTTTTTTTTTTCATGTGAAGATCTATGATAATAATCTTTTGCATTAGAAAACTCTGTTTCAGTTGTGAGAATAAAGATAGACGGCAACACAGCTAAAACTATACGTTCAAATAATAAAAACGGGGCAGTCAAATTGACGGTCCTAAACGTTTCTCCGATAAACGCGGCTACTTGTCGCCTCTTTTATTTCTCGTCAATTGTCTTGGAGAGGTAACCATTCTTTAATTTTCCATTCAAATTAAAACTTAATCCCACATTTTTTTAACGTTTGATCACAGTGTTGGATAAATTATAGTGTTAATCCTTCACTTGAGATTCCACAATTTTTATTCATAATTAATGGTAGATAAATCATTAACTAATAATATATTGAGTGCGACATTTGTTTAAGTTAAAGAAACAGATTATTAGTTTGTTAACTACTAATAAATACACATTAGTTAATTAATTAATTATGAGAAGTGAAGTATAACCTAACCAACGTGTATGTAAGAAATATTTTTCCTTATATATCCCACCTCGACAACACTCATTTCATTTTTGTTTTCTGTTATTTAATGAAATAGTTGCGTATGAAAGGGAGCGCTTGGAGCAGTTTTGTGTTAAAAGTCAGCGTCTGTGTTTTTCAATTCTCTCCTGTGTGTATTTGGAGAAAGGAACAGTCAGTTTTCAACCTCCGAAACCTGTTCATTTGCTTTTTCTTGCCCCTTAGTAGCCAGAATAAATCCCATTTCCTCAGGACAAAGTTTTCACTCCCATTAGTCATAACCTCTTAATCAAAAAACCGATAATCCCCACACACATACACAACAAAGTTCCTTGATTTCCATATCTATTACAAGCTCTTCAAATTAGTGGCTACAATCAATATGTTCCAAAACATGGCACTGCTAATCTCCTCCAACTTGAAGCCTTTTCACTAAGGAAAAAGCATGTGCAACAACATCCTTGGCCCAATAATGGACAGCTATCAAGGTGATTTAAGTGACATAATTCGTGCCAGTGGTGCATCGTATGGCAGATGCAGCACGGGAACTTCATCATCTGAAGCTTGTGCTCCCTTCTCTCTTGATCACTGCCTCTTCTCTTCTGTTTTGGAAGGGTTTAATAGCAACTTTGGTGATCCATTCTCGAACATGAGAGATCCATTTCTACATGAGCTTGAATTGCCTTCATGCTCTGCCTACTTTAACAGCACAACAAGTTCTGCGGAAATTGGCAGTTCTGGGGCATTGGAAGAAGCAACTTGTTTTGGTGGTGGGGTTGCTGGTAACAGTAATAGTTGTGGTTTGAAACCAAAGATTCTTGAGGATGATGACATGAGAAGGCCTTGTAACAGCATATTGTCAAACATGATTCAGATCTCTCCCAATGATAAGTTACCCATCTCTCCAGTGGTGGATGCTTTGTCAAGGGCACTCAAGCCTTCTGGTGTGGTTTTAGGTAAAAACATGATTAATTTGAAGACCTCTGAGGATGATTGCTTGGTGGGAAACCGCAACACTGAAGAAGTGCAGATCTCATCTCCACGGAATCCAGGTCTTAAGAGAAGGTGAGGTATTAGTTATTTGATTATTAAATAATAAATTAATTCAGTATTAAACCGAGAACTGCTTCCAAGAATTGAGTTAAATTACATTTGTCCATTAGTTTTATGTTGGCATCATAAATTTTCCAAATGGAATTAATCACAGTCATTTTTGGGAACTTAAATTTCAGTGAAACCATGGTGAGGTAATAAAGTAGGGTTTGGCATGAGTGAGGTAACTCGGTTGTCTCAGTTTCCAAATATGTTTGGTTGACTGCATCTGGTCATAAAACTAAGAGGATTATAATTAGTTTCATGTTGGAAACAGTTCATTGTGATTAAGACTAAACATGGTGCATCGATGCCTTTAACAGGGTTAATCCACCTGAAAAGTAGAGCTAGCTAGATAGGTGTCACCATAGCAGTCACATACTGAGCTTTCAAGAAAGCTTATCGTAAACTACTTTTCTTCCAAACACACCTGAAATGTCCTGTTCCTTTGATCATCAGAAAAAAAAAAAAAAACATACCCTTTTCTTGGCCACAAAATTACACTATTTCAGTGAAATTAACTCTAAACCAGAAAGTTTAAACAGCCTGGTCTAGCTAGCTATTAAACATTCTATATCTCTTTTAATTCTCATACGTGCAAACACACACACACACACATATAATTGAGAAATTTTATTTCCATAACTCCTTTTTACAATTTTTTTTTCTATAATTTGGAAAGAGAAAAGAAGCATATAACAAATGTGCCAAAAAGACAGAGCGGAAAATAAAATAGTTGTAGAATATATTATATAAATGCGCATAAGAAGAATGTAACGCCATGGAATAAGGTTTTTAGTTAAAGTTGAAGAAGAATGACGTAAGGGATGACATGATACTGTTGTTGTGTAATTGCAGGAAGAGCCAGGCAAAGAAATCCATTTGTGTTCCTGCACCAGCTGCGCCAAACAGCAGACAAAGTGGCGAGGTAGTTCCTTCTGATCTGTGGGCTTGGAGAAAATATGGTCAGAAACCCATTAAAGGTTCTCCATATCCAAGGTAAGTTGGAATAGTGTAATCTTTCTCGGAAAGAGATAAGGTATTTTAATCAAGATTTTGCCTAACTTCTTTAAACAAAGAAACCACGTAAGGTGACCAAATTTTAGTACATTATTTTAGGTTTTGTATGTTTTGTTAATTAATATTGGATTTTTATTTTGATAATCTGTCCAGTGAAGAAACATTTGGTAAAGCTTTTAAATTTGATTAATCGACTACACTACAATCACTTAAAGTACCATACTTTGTTAAGCTTGTCCTATGGAAATGCAGAAAGATAATATTTTGTTTACTCTTATATACAAATATTTGGGAAACTTAAACCCACATAATTTAAATTAAGAGTGAATATATATGTGATTTAATCTTTCACTTCACACTTTTCTTTACTTTTACTATGATATGTTAGAGATTATCATTTAATCACAGACTATAATGAATGATAATATATTATTATTTTTAATAATTATATTAAAAGTATGATTTATTATTGAATTGACATTGTCAATGCTTGAAATATTATATTTATGAGATTTTTTTATGTTATAAGCATAATATTTTTCAATAGTCACCTAATTAATAACTGTCTAGTTATATTTTTTAAATAATTGTTATGAATTCAATTATATTTAGTTATTTATTGAATGACTACTCTGAATTTTTATTACATTTAATTAAATTCTTCAAATTAGCAAATTATTTAACAAAACCATAGCAACACCACCAACAAATATTGTAATCTTGCAGTAAGATCTAAATCGATCAGCTGTTAATTTTTTGTAGTATACCGTATCCATCCAAAGAGAAAAATGACTCCTCAACAGATAAAATTAACATTATTTTTCAATCACGTATCGTACTTTCATTGGTGACAAGAAAATTAAGGACGCACAGGTGGTAAGATATCTCTTGGGTGTTTTCTTTTTTCATTATTTCTTAACCAGTGTTTTGGTCACAGTTTGAGGTTTAAAAACAACTAGGTAAAAAGTTACATATCCCATCCCATTCCAAAAGCTTTTTTTGGCAATTATTTTAACTGGACTGTACTCACGTCAAGCAATTTATTTTCATTGTACGTAACATTATGTCATTGGTTCAGGTGGTAGAATTCTTGGTCTTTCTCAATATCATTTATGGGTTCTTATGTTTATCTCTCTCTCTTAATTGTTACCACATCTAGGGGTTACTATAGATGCAGCAGCTCAAAGGGTTGCCCTGCAAGAAAACAAGTTGAGAGGAGCAGAACTGACCCAAACCTCTTGGTCATTACTTACACGTCAGAGCACAACCATCCATGGCCAACTCACAGAAATTCTCTCGCTGGTTCTTCTAGATCCCAACCTTCATCCAAGAGCAACAACATTGCTGCTTCAAAGATTTCAGAAACAAGTCCCCAAAACGAGGAAGAGCAGCATGAGGAGAGCAACAGTGACAGCAATAATGTAAATAACAGTGCATGTGTGCATGAAGAAAAGCAGCTTGAGATGGATGATGGAGAATTCAGTGATATTGGTCTCCCTTACAAGTCAATATCTAAGATGAAGAGCTACCAACAACTTGATCAGGGTTTGTTTGCAGAATTGGGAGAAATAGAAAAAGCTCACTCATTAAACCTATTGTCTCCACCGCATGGTTTTGATGATCAACAAAGGGAATCCAACGCTTTAGATTCATTCCATATCTTTGACTGGAGCGGTGATAACAGCGCCAAGTACCACCTCATTTGAAGAATCTAATTGGAGAAGGTCGTATTATATATATATATATATATATATATATATATATATATATATATATATATATATATATATATATATATATATGTAAGACCTTGAATGGGAAGCATGCACCACCTTCCTCACAAAAGCCTTTTAACAGGTTCAGGTCATCATCGGATTTCAAATATGTCATGTGGGGTTGTTTCTGTTTTTTTTGTTTTTTTTTTTTCTTTTTTCTTTTCTCTTTCTCTTTTGCTTTACCTGTCATTTCGTATAACAGTCAGGGAGGTAAATTAGTGGAAGAAAAATGGGATTCTATATGTGGGAGTGCTGCATAATGGGAAGCACACAGAACGAGTCCCACGTTCCTTTTGGAATATTGGTGGATGGGACAGAAAGCTGAGGAACAGAAGATTTTAACAGCTAAAACAATTTCTAGAGACTTTATTCATTCAAAAGCTCACTCAGTAGATTAATGATTAAAGGATGAGAAGCTAGTCCTTTCATCTTTTGCAAGTGGGAAAAATTATTTTAGGCCTCACGCTTGGTCATGTGGGTTATTGTTGAAGAAGTGATGACTTCAAAGAATAAATTGGGTTCGGAGATTTGAGATTAATTTTCCTCCCAGAAATGAATTTGACATTAGATAAAAAAGATTAATAGGGTAAACAAATTTAGTAGGTGTCCATTTGAACAAAAGTACACATGACATGCATGAGGGGACATGCAAGCTTTGGTTCCTCAGTTTTCTGCTTCTCTTACTATCCACAGACTTGTTATTTTTCTTTCTATCTGAATGACTCCTTGATATGTTAATTACTATTCAATACTTTTGAACTTTAATGCTATTGTTTTTGACAAACATTATTCTATCGTGTTTTATCTGTTTGTACTAGTTGTTTCTGATGCAATAAACCATTTTGCATGTGCATGCCCGTCAACTTATCCTTGCAATTGCAAAAGTCATCGAGCCAAAACCATCTTTCAAGGAAGGAAAATATTTGGAGCTGAAGTATTTCATAACAGTTAAGAATATTCTAAAATGTTCCGATCTTTTTTTTTTACATGATACGGATGAGTTATGGATTAAAACTTTATAAAATAATAGACATAAAAATTACGATATTGCAACATTGATGTCTATAGATATTCGAGTTATTTTTCCTTTCTTAATCTTTGAAAAAACTATATTTTAGTATGCTTATAAGTTTTTTATATTGCTTAAAAATGTAATCTAATTTTGTTTTTAATATTTCAATAGGTTAAAAGAGGATAATCTGATGTAGGACTCGTGATTGTCCCTATTATATGAGAAAAAAAGTAGCACGTGAGACAAATAAATATGAGAAAAAGAGTAACACGAGAAAAAAAAAAAAGAGGAAAATAAAACAAACGAAATACACTATCTGATATATTGAAATAGTTACTTCTACCAATGAGTAATGATATATTGATAATTTTTTTACGAATAACTATCTGATAATTATGATAATATAATAATAAAAGTATAATATAAAAAACTAGAATTATTATAATATATAATAAAATTATCAAGTGATTATATACGAATAAAAAAGATATTATCATTATTATATAATAATAGAATTTTCAAATGATTATGTATTAAAAGAAAGATTACCAAAGTATCATTTTCTTTCAACAATATATGACAAATAAATAAGTACCCACTAACCTTTGAAAATAGGTAATAGTTAGCTCTTGATCCTTCCAGATAGCCCAATTGGTAAATGGACTTATGTCCGAAGCCTATTTGAATTAGGAAAACTTCGATGTTCATTAGCCTATCTCATGGGCCTAAAGCCCAACACAAGCAAATAAAGTGAGTCTTAGAGTACTAAAAATGATATTTATAATATTATTAATTCTATAAAATGATATACAAATACTATCAATTTAACGAAAAATATCAATATTCACCTTTTAACTTTCTATAGCAATTTAACGGTAGATTTTAAGGTATTCTCCAGTAAATAGATTATAATTTCCTAACACCCATTTATTTATTGACAAAATATACATATTAATTATATTTTTAATCCTTCTATAATGTCAATGTATAATTTTAGTCTCTAATTGTTTTGTCGAAGTTTAGTTATTTTCTTTTTCCTATCAGAAAAACAAAAATTATTAATTTGGAAGTACGCTTAGTTAATAAAAAAAATGGTACAAAAGTTTAAAAAATAGTTTATGAACTAAATTAAATTACAAATTTGTTTCAACAAACTTAAACTATTTAAATTAAATTATTTTTACGTTTTCTCTTCTTTTACCACTTATATAAAATGGGATGCACTTATAATTTTTTGCCTCTAGTTGTTTTGTTAAACTTATTTTAAGAATAATATAATTTTTATTTTATTTTTATCTATAAATATGAGAATAAATAAGTTAGATTTTATCATGATACAGGATCCATCATATAACTTAAGGGTAAATAATTTTGATATATTTTAAACAATCCTGACTGTAGAATTTATATTAAAATAATATATTTTATTATTAAAAATTCTTTTAAATAATGTGAATTTTCTTCTAAATATATCCTATACTAGAAACATGCAGAAGAATGAAGCAGACATTATTAAACTAGACCTAATTTATTGATCTTAGTAAGCTTATTTTTCACAAAGAAAATAAAAAAAATTAACTTAAATAATGTTTTTTCTTAAAGAAATAAGTGAAATTGATAAATAATGTACGTATATCACTCCTCTACTATTAAACATGCTATTAGTTTCGCTGACGATGCCTTATTCAATACTGGTCACAAAATGTCATTATTTTCAACTATTTCGGCATTCTCATTGCAAGGACAAATTCAATACAATCAATGCGTTGAGATTTATAGGTAGAATTAAAATAATAAAAATAAACTAAATATTAATTAAATAAATCCAATATATTTCATTCTTATCTATATATTATCTTCTGAATTCATCATATTTTTAAATAGATGGCACTCTTTAATTTATAAATATTTAATATATAATTTTAAAATAATATTTTTTATTGATAAAAAGAAAATGAAATAAAATAAATAATAATTAAAAATGGTTGATTATATATTTTACTCTTTCAAATATTCTTTCTCTTTACTTCTTAAATATATAAATCCCCAAAATATGTCAACATAGGACATATGAGTCAAAATTTAAGAGATAACTTATTTAAAATGACAACTGTTTACTTTTATCATTTTATTAAAAAGGAATTTGAAAATAAATAATAAAAATCCATATGTTTAATCATACTTTGAGCTAGCTAATGAAGTTGATCCAAGAATTTGACCTCACAATGTCTTGATGTGAGTTGTTAATATTTCCTCCTTTTTCAAACTGACGCCGACACTTAGACATGCAGATTATCTAAACAAAGTGCTGATGAGCACTTTGTTTAGATATGGCTGAGTTGAGATGTTTTCAGTAAACTGGAATTACATGTCTAAACATAATTCCTTGTTTTCAGTTAACAAGATTGGTATTGGAATATAACTCTTGTCCAATTGGAACCTGAACACAAAAAAACTTAACCTTTTGTCTTGTTGCGTGACCTTCATGAACACTTGCAGTAGGCGAATTGACCCTAGTACTAGTCAAATATAACAGCTTGAATATATATATATATATATATATATATATATATATATATATATATATATATATATATATACACGTTCTCATCCATTTTGAATACACAAACCACATCGAAATGAATAGCTCAGCAACAATGTCGGGCTTAAGCATAGTTTTAGTGATGGTCCTGTTGTGCAGCAGTGCAGTCTCGGAACTATGCAACACAAAAGACAAGCAAGCACTTCTCCAGATCAAGAAGGATCTTGGCAACCCGACCACTCTCTCGTCCTGGGTCTCAACCACCGACTGTTGCAACGGGACCTGGCAAGGTGTTTTATGCGACACCGACACCCAAACATATCGTGTCAACAACCTCGACCTCTCGAACCTTAACCTCCCCAAACCCTACAGAATACCCGCCTCCATCGGAAACCTTCCCTACTTGAATTTCCTTACCATCAGAACCAACCCCAACCTCGTTGGGGCAATCCCCGCCGCCATTACTAAACTCAACCAACTTCGCTATCTCTATATCACCCACACCAATGTCTCCGGCGCCATACCCGAATTCTTGTCGCAAATCAAAACCCTCGTAACCCTCGACTTCTCCTACAACGACCACTCCGGCACCCTCCCTACCTCCATCTCTTCTCTCGCCAACCTCGTCGGAATCACTTTCGACGGCAACCGCATCTCCGGCGCTATCCCCGATTCCTACGGCTCGTTTTCGAATCTGTTTACGTCGATGACGATCTCCCGCAACCGCCTCACCGGGAAGATTCCGGCGACGTTCGCGAATCTGAACCTGTCGTTCGTTGACTTGTCTCGGAACAAACTGGAGGGTGACGCGTCGGTGTTGTTTGGGTCGGATAAGAACACGCAGAAGATACGTCTGGCGAAGAACTCTCTTGCTTTTGATTTGGGGAAAGTGGGGTTGTCAAAGAACTTGAACGGGTTGGATCTGAGGAACAACCGTATCTATGGGATGCTACCAAAGGGACTCACGACGCTTAAGTTTCTGCACAGTTTGAATGTGAGCTACAATAATCTGTGTGGTGAGATTCCTCAAGGTGGGAACTTGCAAAGATTTGACGTGTCTTCTTATGATCATAACAAGTGCTTGTGTGGCTCTCCTCTTCCTGCTTGCACTTGAATGCTGCGTTTGCCTTTCTATTTACTATACATTATGTTGCATTTACTCCATCACTGCCTTATGTATTAAATTTCAATGTGAATAATGAGATTATTATGCTCATAACATAATAATGCAACCTATGTTCCAACATATGTAATTAAAACTGTTTCGTGGTAGATATGCCATAGGGTGATTCTACATGGAAAATATATGAAGGGAAAATGCTAATAGTGGCCGCTTAATCGGATTGAGTTGTGCGTGGTATGCGTTTGAGTGCTAGTAATAGTGGTCGTCGGCCTTACGAGAACGAGAACACTTGTCATTAAATTGCCCGCACCGTCAAATCTTAGTTTTCATTTTTAAATTTGTTTGCGCTTTCCCTTTAATACCATTTTCATATATTAAAAAGTCGCTTAGATTAATGCACGACTGCATTCTAATGTTTTCGTACGGGTGTGGCTGCAAACACTACTATGTGTCTTAATTTTTTTATTTTTTTTTTTAAGTGTGGATATGTCATATACGTTATCATTTGTTTTATTAAAATAAATTATTTGGAGTAAATATGATTGTCCACATCGTTTTATGTGTATTCAATATTTGTTTTTATAAGTTTATTTTGCACGGTTGTCCGTATTATTTTATACTGTACAACACTTTTTCAAAAATAAAACATTAATCCAATATACCAACTTTTTCTACAAACTGATAATCCATTTTGAATGAAAATATGTAAGAGGAAGGTTAATCTTTATCTGTTCCAAATAAAATAAAATAAAATTGTTTTCTCTTTTCTCTTTTCCTTTTTTTTCGTCTGATGTTTAGGGGAAAATATGCGGGAGATCAAGATGTTTTCTTTATGAGAAAGTATGACTATCGTGCATATTTATATGATATATTTTAAGATTTGTAAATGAACAATTTGCTTGATAAATTTAGAATAGAAAATATTTTACGTTTGGATCAGTTTAATATTAGGATAATTTGTTGCAATATTTTTAATACATTACTGGATAAAAAAACATTTTTATAAGAAATGAATTTGGTGCAAACACTTTTATATGTCAATTTAATCAATAATCATCCCAAAAAATTATTTTTTTATGACGGTTATTATCATAACCAATGTCAAAATTACACCTTTTATAATAATTAAAATAACAATCATTGTAAAATATATTTCTCTATAATGGTTATAATAACACCATCAAGAAAATGTATCTTTTATCATGTCACTTATTTAATGATGGACATAAAAAGTTATAATTTTTTTAAAATACTTTTTTTATTTATACATCAACCTCCCTTCATCATAATAATAAATATATATTTTTCAGGAATACTATACTTAATAAATTCATAAGATATTTAATAATAACATATAAATATACATAAAGAAATATTAAGTGTATATAATATCACTTAAATTAAATTAAAATAATTTACAAATTATAAAAAATACTTAAAAAATTGAAAATTTATTGCATTATTTCGTTGAGGGTACTCTTTTGTGGTTTGATTGATTGTACTATATGGTGTTAATTGTATTATTTAAACTAGACTGTGTTTTCGTTGTGTTGTTTGGATCCTGTGGCTGCTTGATCAGATTGAGTACCCAATGGGATGTTAACGCCGAGAACCTCTCAGAAGGAGAGACAAGAAAAAGTTCAAAATAAAAATGAAAAATCAATAAATAAATAAATAAATAAATATATATATATATATATATATATATATATATATATATATATATATATATATATATATATATATATATATATATATATGATTTATGATGTCCTAGAGTATCATCATCCAATGCTTCTTATTATTTCACATAAACACCTACTATTAATACAACATGGGCCACATCCCAATTGAATAAGAAAACCTAATCACATAATGGTTCTAGGTCTATTAGTTGATGTTTTGGATTTTGCGCGGGGAGCCCTTTTTGGCGCGTCTGTAGTCAATGCATACATCTTCACAGCAAATAATCCTTCAGGGAATCCTGTCTGATCCTGATTGAACAAAATATCAGCTTCAAGAGTACATATACCAAGGACATCATCACGTGACTATCGCTTTCCGCATGCTTTAACAAGCAGAACAATAGCGTGAAGCAAAGATGATAAAATCTAACTTTTCAGGAAACATGAGATATGATTCTTCTTCATCAATGATCATATTTTAACTCATAGGGAAGTAGGACACCATTGATTCAAATATGGGATGTATGGTACTCTCCAACATCACAATATAGTATATGCAATTTACCTTTGATCTGTACACATGTAATCCACATTGAGAAAATAGCTCCTTGAAGTACATATCAGATCTTGTAACGCTTCTGTCTTCATTGTCAAGCACGAATCCTGCACGGAACACACCATGAATCCAAATATACACATAGCCCAATATTCCACCTAAATACAACATTTTGTTTCTTGTTTTCCCAAGAGACAACAAGACTATATTTGACAAACCCAAAAGTGAACTTTCTTTCACTATGGGAGTCCACCCAATTTGCATTACAATTTCCTATGACTCAAGTGTGTCCTTTATCTTTATACAAAAATCCCTTTCTTGCAGCTCCTTTAATGTATCCAATAATTTTGTTCAATGCATCCTAATGTTTCTTACATGGTTGAGGAACTAACTTACTAGAGTTGCTGTGAATGTGAATGAGATATTTGATTGGGTAACAGTAAGGTAGTTCAACATGTGTGAACTAGATATATGAACTAACTTCCTACTAAGCGTCTATACCTTTCTAGATGTGGGAGACTCCCCCTAAATTGACAAGAACTTGACCTTGAGATCCATGGGGATGTCTATATCTTGGAATTTAACACTCCTTTTTTACCAGAATATCCAGTGCAAAATCCTTTTGGGATATGATGATCCCATTTTTGGCCTTGATGAGGATATAAAACCTGATGTTGGATTTTACCTTATAGGATAGAGGAAGGAATGTAGTTGATGAGATAACATGAATTAAGTATTGCATCGCCCCAAAACAAATGAAGCACATGAGAGTGGATAAGAAGTGTTTGGGCGGTCTCAAGATGATGTTTATTTTTGCGTTTAGCATCCTCATTCTATTGGAGGGTATGAGAACAATATGTTTGATGTATCATAACCATGAGATGAAATAAAGGTCTGAAATTGAGTAGATAGATAATCATGGGCATTAGCACTTTCTAAAAGGCGAATAGAGACAGTAAATCGATAACTAAAATAATCTTAGAGAAGCTAATATGATAAAATTGTAAAATAATATGTAGTTTTTCTACGTTCTTAATTCATTATGGAAAACTACTCTACAGGATCTTTAGATTATTGATTTTCACAATATAACATACATCAGTACATGAATCATAGTAAGAAGACTAACCTTAATCCATGAGAGTCTATTCTTTAATCTTTTCTCTCCAATCTCCTTTTCTCAATCTATCTCTTTGTCTTTCTTTCTCTTCTCACGCTTTCTTGATGGTTTACCGTGAAAAAAATCTTATGACCAGAGACAGAACCCTTATTCCATTTTATTAACCAGACGTCCATCAAGTTAGTTACCGTAATGTAATATTTTATTTTATCTTTATTTTATTCTAACTTCACATAATAACCAATACGTCCTCATATTTTATTAAATCACATTTGAGTCCATTATTATATTTCACATGAGTCACATAATAGAATGAATGAATTAAATTAATTCTAACATTCTCCCTCTTGACTCATGTGATGTCATACAATTCTGTGATTTAATACTTAAGTCATAATGCGCATTGAAGGACCTTATATAAATTGGTTCTATCATTATTCATAATTAAAGATACAGCTATAACAAGAGTCATGACGGTTACATGTCATTCAATCGACAGACTCCCTTCCATGTACCACTATATTATCTCTTTCTCCTTAATATGACTTTATAACGAGAAGTTCATAATAGGTTCAAACATAATATCATTTTAATAATAATAACATAATTTATTTTCTTCATCATAATTTGCATGCATATAAATTAAGAAGAAAACACAAATTTTAGAAACTTATACATTAAAGATCTCAGAGTGTCACAGAAGCATTAATAATAACATTAACATTCAACATTCACTAGTGAACATAATGCCCACATTCATTATATGACCAGTAAATAATTTGGGCGATAATCCCTTTGTTAAAGGATCAGCAATCATAAGATTAGTGCTAGTATGTTCTATTGACACTCTACGTTTCTGAATTTCTTCTTTAACGACAAATTATTTCAATTCCATATGATTAGCACATTTGGAATACTTATCGTTCTTAGAAAAGAAGACTACTGCGGAATTGTCACAATAAATTTTCAGCGACTTGGCAATGCTGTCGACTACTCCAAGTCCTGAAATAAAATTCCGCAACCATTTAACTTGAACTGTGGCCTCAAAGCATGCCACAAATTCAGCTTCCATGGTGGATGCAACAATGACAGATTGCTTCGTACTTTTCCATGAAATCGCTCCTCCGCCTAAAAGATACACATAACCAAATGTAGACTTTCGTGTATCCATACAACTAGCAAAATCTGAATCTGTATATCCAATCACCTCAAGGTGATCAACTTTTCTATAAGTAAGTATGTGATTCTTTGTTCCTTGTAAGTATCTTAAGACTTTCTTTGCAGCCTTCCAATGATCCAATCCAGGATTACTCGGTATCTACCCAACATACCAACTGCAAAGCTAATATCCGGCCTCGTACATGTTTGAGCATACATCAAACTCCCAACAACAGATGCATAAGGGATATTTTCCATCCGTTTCGTTCCAAGTCATTCTTTGGACATTTGATGAGACTAAACTTGTCTCCTTTCGTATTGGAACGGGAGATCTGAACACTTCTCCATTCGAATCTCTCTAAAACTTTATTAATATATGCTTTCTCGAGACAAACATAACAGATCCTTGTGATCTATCACGGAATATTTCTATTCATATCGCATAGTATGTCTCACCCATATCTTTCATTTCAAAGTTGTTAGAGAGAAACTTCTTAGTCTCACTTAATAGACCAAGATCATTAGTCGCAAGCAAGATATCATCAACATACAAAATAAGAAATATAAATTTGCTCCCAATGACCTTCAGATATATACACCGATCAACAGTGTTTTCCTTAAATCCAAAAGACAAAATAGTATAATTGAACTTAAGATACCATTGTCGAGAAGCTTGTTTAAGCCCATATATTGATTTCTTAAGTTTACACACCATATGTTCATTTCCTTCTTCAATAAACCCCACTGGTTAATTCATATAAACATCCTCCTCTAAATCTCCATTCAAAAAAGCAGTTTTAACATCCATTTGATGCAACTCAAGATCATAATGAGTTACTAATGCCATGATAATTTTAAAGGAATCTTTCTTAGAAATAGGTGAAAATATTTCCTTATAATCAATGTCATCTTTCTGAGTAAAACCTTTGACAACAAGACGGACCTTGTAACGTTCGATATTGCCATGAGAGTCACGCTTAGTCTTAAAGACCCATTTACACCCAACACTCTTGCATCCTTCTGGCAATTCCACAAGATCCCATACACCATTATGTGCCATTGATTTAAGTTCATCTTTCATAGCATCTAACCATTTATCAGAATTATTACCTTTAATGGCATCTGAAAATGAAATTGGGTCATTATCAATACTTAGATCATTTTCTGACTCTTGTAGATAAACCACGTAATCATTCGAAATAGCAGACTTTCTTTCTCTGTGACATCTTCTTAATACTATTTCCTGTGGTTGTTCTGTTATCGGATTATTGTTAATCTCAGGATCATTAATTTGTTGTTCTTCTTGATTGTCGTGTGATTCTACAACATTTAGAACAACAACTCTTGAAGATGTACTAGTTATTGGAACTTGTACTCTAACTTCCTTAATCTCCACATTTCGTGAAACTTCACTCCCACTGGTTTCACCATTTTCAACGAACCGAGCATTTCCAATTTCAACAATTCTTGTACTATGATTAGGACATTAAAACATATACCCCTTTGATTTTTCTGGATAACCAATGAAATATCCACTTATTGTTCTTGCATCGAGTGTCTTTTCTTGTGGATTATAAATTCTTACTTCTGCCTGACAATCTCAAACATGTAGGTGTCTTAAACTGGGTTTCCTACTTGTCCATAACTCAAAAGGAGTCTTTTGAACCGTTTTACTAGGAACTCTGTTCAACAAATACATGACAGTCTTCAAAGCATACATCCACAACGATACAGGTAAACATGAATTACTTAACATACTCCTAACCATATCAAATCATAGAAGTACGCTTAAACAAACTGAAACAACCATTCCCAAACTTAAAAGAGTATCCAGCAACATCAAGCTTGGACAAAGAAACTAAATTTCTAATGATACTAGGAACATAACAAGTATCCATAAGGTCTAAGTGATATCCAGTGTCAAGGATTAAACGATAAGTCCCGACAGCTTCCACTGGAACCTTGACTTTATTCCTCATAAAGACGAACTTCTCATTTGGGTTTATGGTTCGAGTTGAAAGGAATCCTTGCATTACATTAAAAACATGAGTCGTACATCCAGAATTAATCCACCAAGTATTATGGGAAACTTCAATTAAGTTTGATTCAAAACATGCGTAAGCACTATGCTCACATTTCTTTTCGAACCAAGCTTTACGCTTTAAGCAGTCCTTTTGAAAATGTCCAGACTTCCCGCAGAAATGACATTTGTCATTTTTCTTTTGAATGTTAGTAGAAGACTCGTTAATCTTTAATGGTCATTTACCCTTTCCATGTTTCTTAACAACTTTCTTTTTAGCTCCTTGATTTTTCACGTAATGAATAGAGTGGGTTCCTAGGTTCTTGAGTCTGGTCTCCTCCTGTACTAATATACTGTGCAATTCATGCACATTCCATTTGTCTTTCATGGTGTTATAGTTCATCCAAACGAGACCATACTCAGAGCGATAACGAGTTCAAAATGCACTGCACAAGAAAATTGTCTTCCAATGCCATTCCAAGAGACTTGAGTCTTGTCTGCGATATTTGTCATTTCGATTACGTGTTCATGCATACTACGAGAACCATCAAACTTCATGGTGGTCAACGTACTTATCAATGTCCCAATGAGGGATTTGTCGCCAGCTTGAGAACGCTCTTCCACAAATTTCATAAATATTTTCACGTCCTTAGTTTTGGAAAAAACATACTTAATATTGTTTGCAATACTCATTCGCATAAACATAAGACTAAGTCTATTTGAACTTTTCCAAACTCTATAATGAGTTTTCTCTTTGTTGTTACTAGCATTAGTGATAGCAACCAGTTTTTCAACTTGGAAAGCCAAATCAAAATCCAACTCACCTAAGTGAAATTTGACTTTCTCACTCCAGATCGGGGAATTTAATCTATTAAAGACTGGAATAGACAAAGTAAGCGAATGTAGAAATACATAAACAAATATTTCAATTAACACATGCCTAACATTAATGCTTTGAGTCATAAAAACTAAACATAAATACAAATTCAAACATAAATAATCATTCTATGCATACTAATGTTCTCCTTTGGGAGATCCAATAATACACAAACATAATTACGCTAATCTTTTTATAACATTAATGATAATTAAAATATGCATCAACTAGAATCACCTAACACCTTTGGGTATATAAATAAAACTAGTGACGCACACAAAATTATCTACTTTCATGTTCATTAATTATAATAACAATTAATCAACCTTTGGGTGATCCTGAAATGCCTTATAATAAAGAACTTCAATTAACCCATAAATCATTATTCATAATTTTAACATTCATACTATGAGTAATTGAAATAAAATCATTAATAATTTGAAATCAAAATAACCTTAAAATTTTGGCCACTTTGGTGACTAACAAAATTTATCATGCTTAATTTCAAATAAATAATATCTTTAATTGCTATTAACCATTCATAGCATTTTTTTTATTAATTTTAATAAATATGTACATTATTCACATAATAAAATATTATGTGCCATAAATAAAATTGAAACTCATAATTTCAATTTTCATCCTAATTGATTTTGAATCCAAGACCTTTATTTGCATTTCACGTAAAAGTGAAATTGTCATTCATTCAAAACTTTTATGAGTAATTTAAACACAATGGAAACAATACAATTCAGTTTGCAAAACAAAATTCATTCATTTATCAATGTTTACATTATAGGTACATTAACAAAGTTTCACGAGTACATTAAGAAAGCTTTACAAGTACCCTTGACAAAGCTTTACGATACCCTTGACAAAGCTTTATAGTACTCTTAACAAAACTTTACAGTATGAATATATTATACAACTCACCTTAACATAAAAATAACTCTTTAATTATCCTTCAACCACATAAAAAATATACGTACAAAATAATGTACAAATAATATGAGGAAAGAATAATATAGGGACAAAATGGTTTCAATGAGTCACCGAGTCACCAATATGTACATACAAAATAATATTATAAATAATATAATATAATATATGAAATCTGTGTGTTTAACACATGCTCTCTATGCGCAAAGTTTATCAACTTTACGAGTTTACCATTCTTCCATCATAATTATAACATTTCATCATAACGTCTCATCATAATTATAACATAAAATAAAACTAATTTCATACATGATTCACCCTAACCCTCACATCATTTGTCTTTTCAATTAAAATCAATTACGGGTTCATTCACGCATATGGACTATAAAATTGGTTTCAATTTGAACTTGAAAACATAATTAGGGTTATTCCTTTAAAGTTTTGAGAAAAATAAATTTGGGAATAGATTAGGGTTCATACTAACCTGATAGAGAAATCCCCAAATTCATAATTAGGGTTTATCTTAATTTGGAAAAAACTTAATATTTGGGAAAACTTTCATACAAGGAAAATCATAAATCCAATAATCAGTGCTCTAATACCTCTGATACCACATGTAAAATAATATGTAGTTTTCCTACGTTCTTAATTCATTATGGAAAACTACTCTACAGTATCTTTAGATTATTGATTTTCACAATATAACATACATCAGTACATGAATCATAGTAAGAAGACTAACCTTAATCCATGAGAGTCTATTCTTTAATCTTTTCTCTCCAATCTCCTTTTCTCAATCTATCTCTTTGTCTTTCTTTCTCTTCTCACGCTTTCTTTATGGTTTACCGTGAAAAAAACCTTATGACCAGAGACAGAACCCTTATTCCATTTTATTAACCAGCGTCCATCAAGTTGGTTACCGTAATGTAATATTTTATTTTATCTTTATTTTATTCTAACTTCACATAATAACCAATTGGTCCTCATATTTTATTAAATCACATTTGGGCCCATTATTATATTTCACATTAGTCACATAATGGAATGAATTAATTAAATTAATTCTAACAAAAATTTCTACAAATTAGCTAATGGAGAAAGTAATTTTAGCTTCTGGATAAACTAATTCAATTTTGTTTATCTTCTATTTTTCAAAAAAAATGCTTATGGAGGAAATAAAATGCAGGAAATATATCATTCAGTATCATTAGAAAGACAAAAAAATGCAACAAAGAAGAAAGTACCAGATCTGGCAATATTCTCCTTCAGAACAAAAAATCCACCTGGTTTGAGGCCAACCTATAGTAAGGTATATGTGAATGTCAATGTTTAATGCCAACAGACAGGGTATAAGTATGAAAGTGACAAAAGTTATGACTTCAATTTAATGAGATTGCTTCCAAAAAGAAGAAAGACAAATTAGTGACTCCACAAATTAGCAAACACCAACAGTACAGTATCTTGAGTCCACCAAAACATTCATAAGGTTTACAAATAAAATGAACCTAAGAATATGATAAAGTAAACCAAGGAAAGCAAAAATCATCAATCTTTAATAGTGATAAGATAAATTATACACAAACTTCCATATTATCAAATCTTTCTGCATAACCAATTCGAAAATAAGAGGTACAGTTTCTTCCTATCATCAAATCCATTTAATTTTGTAGTGTTAAGAGAAGATTTTTTTCATAGTATGGAAATATAATGCAACAAAACAAGACTTTCAAACTACTGGCAAGCACCCAGGAAAATCACATTTGTAAATATAAGACAAATGTGGAACAATCCCAATCATAGGTGAAGACAAATAATAAACAAACTACATTACTTCATCACGCATGCAACTAAACATCTTTTGCATTCTAAGAATTGGTAGATAAAGATGAAGCCTCAAGTAAATACTTAATTACGTGGAACCTTCCCTTATCCAAATTTACTGGCTTTAAATTTTAAAATAGATGGCTTACCTTTGCTCTCTTGAAAAATGAAACAAAATCTTCATCCGTAAGATGACCAATACACCATTGAATCCATATCACATCATATCTTCCAGTATCTGGTGTAAAATCCTAAAGCAAGGAAAACAAGAGGTGCTCAATAACATTACTGAAGAATAAACCAAAAGTGATACTAAAATTATTAATGGCCAGACAAATATCAAAAGTGCAAGAAGTTGAGAATAAGGAGTTCTGCATAAAAATGAAACTTGAGAGATCACTCTGAGATGATCTATTAATATAGAAAAATATACAATCTAAAATACAAAAGGTTAATAAGAAAACCTACACCGTAGGACCCTATACAGTTGACAGGTACAACAAATAAAACAGCTTTACAAGATATTATAGAAGATTGTATCACCAAACTTGGAACTAATGAACTCAATCCAAGACCCCCGAAAAAACTTGGTCAGAATATCTACAACTTGATCATTGTAGCTAATGTATTCAGTGCTAATTTCTTTGGACAACAAATTCTCTCAAACAAAAAGGCAATCAACTTTTGTGCTTGGTTGAATACCAAAAAATACCAATCTAGGTTTAAGGTAATAGATTCCCTAGCAGAAGAGGGACCAACTCCCATATACAATTGTTTTCAAGAGCATACATTTTAACAATCATGGCCATCGTCGTCTAAGATAAGCAAGTGCTTCATTTATATCTTTTAGAATATTAACAAAATACAGAGATGAAATGAAACAGACATAGGAATGGGACAAGGACAAGACAACCAATGATAACTCAAAATTATAAATAGGATGAGGAATTTGGATATGGGTACTGGTTAGATGATGGAGAAGGACATGAAGTAGAATCAGTGTTATTGATATCAGATAACAGAGAATATCAACAAACCAAAACTCTTTTACAAAATATATCGAAAGTTAAAACAGTTTATGACAGAAGGATCGTGGACAACAATAAGGTACAATATATACATATAGTTACATAAAAAAATGCAGAAATATAACTACAATGCAAAAGCATTGAAAACAATCATATAGTTAATAATATTAACAAGTTTAAAATTCAAATAATAAGAACATTAAAAAAAAAAAAAAACAAGTTGAACTGCTTGTTGAGTTGCCATTGGGATATTGGAAAATAGATATTCAGGGGTTCAGTTTAATAAAGAAAGAGTATTGAGTAGAAGAGAAGGGAAGGAAAAGAGAAAAGGGGAGGGGAGAATAAGAGCAGTACCAACGAAGGTGAAAAAAATGAGAACCTAGCAGAATGGGATAGGGGAGTGAATTGGGAGAAGGGGGACAGGAGGTGGCACTGCAGTGGTTCCATAGCAGTGTTGCAATTGGTTGATGGTGACAGAAAACACTGCAGGCAGCGGTGGAACAGGTCAAAAGCGGCAGCAGGAAGGCACAAGCAGTAGAGGAACAGGTCACAGTCGACAGTAGAGTCACTGGTGGCCAACTATAGTATCTGAACTGGTTTGCCTTTATTGGGTTACACTTCAAGAAGGCTAGCTTAGTCTTTTTTATATCTATTGGGTGTGGTTGGGTTAAAGGACCCACAATTGTTTTAAAAAAAATTAGGGTTTCTTGATTCGGTTGAACAACCCACATTAGTTTTAAAATAAATTAGGCTTTCTTTTGCCCTTGGTTGCCTCGAGTTCTTATTTTCTAAGGAGGCGTGGAGCTGTGTGCGATTTCTGCCACTACTAATCTGCAATACCATTCCACGACGTCCAAAGCTATCGCGATTTATAATAAATTTGAGTAGAATCCCCATGCAAACTTGGGCCAGCTCCTTGTACCCAATGTTGGAGAGTAATGGAAGATGGTGAAGGTGGTAAAGGTGGTAAAGGTGTGGAGTTAGTAGGAGAATGACTCAAAGTTGTGTCTAGATTGGGAATATTGGGAGAATTGATTAATGAATCAAAGAAGGAAAGAGATAAGACTTTGTTGGACAAAAGTAAAATCTTGAATGGAAGAAGTAAAAAATAAAAAATAAAAAATCTTTCAAAGAAGGTGAAACTAACAAACATGTATACTGTTTTGTTTCCGGAAAAAGCAATGGAACCACTTTTGTGGATGAGAATAACAAAGAAAAATGTTGTAGATGATTAAATTATTGTTATATGTTAGTTAAGTAGTTAGTGGGTTAGCTAAATGTTAGTACAGTACTATAAATTGTAATGATATATTGTGATACACAGTTGTGTGAAATAGAAAATTCCAGATTTTCCTTTTTTCTCTATTTTTATAATTGTGTTTAGTGTGTCTAATAACAAGTAGTATCTAGAGCTATTTTGATTGCGCCCTGGGTGATTCCCACTAACTTGTTTGTGAGGCATTTCCCTTAGTGAGAAACCCTTTCCTATGTAGGTTTTCTATCTGTTTTGCAATTTTTTTGGCGTGGAATTCTGCAAAGTTTAGATTGTGAATCATGGTAGGTTTTAATGGGTCTTTTCCAGCCAAATTGATGGCAAGAACTTTGATCAATGGTGTATCAAGATGGGTGTCATCTTTGTGATGTATCACACAATTTTATGTGGACAAGACAATAAACTTCTCACTGTTTTCCAACAATATCAACTATCCCAACTAATGAAAGAAAGATGTTGTAATTTTCATGGAGGTGAAGTACACACCTGAAGAGGAACACAATAAAAATTAACAGCTTTGTGCACTGTATTTGTCTGACATCCTGCAGCCAAAGTTTCACGGGCAGCCTCTAAGAAATGTGATACTGGTTCCAGGAGATCAACCTGAAATTTATAACAAACAAGAAAATGAAAGGTGATAATTCACTTAAATTATCCCTAAAATATTAAAACATGAAAGATTTCCCGATTGAATTTAAAGAAAAATAAAATTATAGAACAAATAAAAGAGAGGGTAATGTACATGAGGGGCAAATCAATGATAACAAATTAAACAAAAAACAGCACCATCTCCAACAAGTAATAAGAAAAAAAAAGTTAGAGAGGAAGAAGAAAAGCAAAGCAAAGAATGAACGAGGTCCAGATATTGGCATTCGGTAAAAGCAACCAATATCATAATTCATAAGCAAATAATCAAAAAAGGTAAAATATTGATGTTATGTAGTTAGTAAAAGCTATGCTTTAATACTTGATAAGAATTTAAATGGGGTAGTTTAATTTAGTGTATCTTCATTGTTCGAACAATGGCACTAAAATGCTCAACCCAAACACATACACCGCCAGAATAGTTATATAGCTCGACCTAAGGGGCTAACATAACTTGTTTATAAGTTAAGTTATCCTTGACACAACAAATTCATATAGGCTCAACCGAAACCTGTGTAACTTAGGTCATGTCAAAAGTAACAGCTGGTCATTTTAGATTCTGTTCTATATCAAAATCCCTGCTTCTTTTTCCTTACCCCATTGAATAGCTAATTGCTTGATATCCTGAAAGCTATTAACCCAGGATTGATAGGCAAAAAGTGTGGAGTTGAACCCACCCAATGAATCAATTTAGTAAAGCAGATCTGGGTAGGCTTATACCAAGAAGTAATTTTCAAATATATGGAGATTGAGGCTTGTCACCGCTACGATTTAGTAAAAATATAGCTGCAGAATTTCCCTGCTATCTGTTTGATCTCAACTCGGGTATGCATTAATTTTAAAGAAGGCGTAACTATAACAAGAGTACTAGAGTAGTGCCATCAAAGTGCAATGATATTGTAAAAAAATCAGATTCAATCAAGCACCTGAAACAATTTTTTTGCATATTTCATTATATTTCTCTTTAGACTAACATCAAATTAAATAGAAAGAAACGTTACAGCATCATTATCCCACTAATTCTCCATTTAGTTTATAGTCTCTCAAAAGCGCCAACATTTAGTTACCTTTCATATATAACCATAACCCTAGGCAAGAACCCAAATATTGGCATTGTAGACTGAAACAACATATGGTCCACTTATTTTTCATTAGAATTGTCACAGGCTCACAGCATAAAAAATTACTCAAAATAAGCATCATTAGCTATGAAATATAGAAGAAAAAAAAGATGCTTGGTGACAAAAGATTGACTCGGAATAAGTATATAAGGAAAGTAATTCTGACAAACCTCATTGAAGTATCTTATTAACAGATTTTTGGTGAGTCTGCCAATGCCCGAACCACAATCTGAAATTCAAAAGTTTTATTATTAGTTCCTCCATGTAGACAAAATATATTATTAAAACACAAGTAAAGCCCAAGCTAAAATCTCATTCGATGTAAAATCTACGAAATAACATCACCAAGAACCCATTTTCATGTGGTATGAAGAACAAAGAGGCAAAGAAAGAGTACCAAGAACAACAAGTGGCTGGCGACTGGCATCAGGAGGAAAACGTTCAGATAGGAGAATCTTCAAGAAATCCTCACTGCAACTTATGTCGGGCTCATTCACATTTGCAAACCCTCCCAATACCCCATCCATAGTTGCATTAACACCCTACTCTCACAAACAATAAAAAAGCAAACTTTACAACAACATATTTACTGCAACCAAACCCAGAAGAGAAAATCCATTTTTTTGTCTTTCTATGGAGAAAAAGGAAACACAGAGACGGAGATACCTCCCAGTAGGAGACGCCGTCGCGATACCATTGAGTCTTCTTGCTAGAGTCGCCTGCGTGTTCCCTCCACATTTCGTCGGCGGTCTCGAATTCACGGCCATAGGAATCTAAGCCGGCGGCGTCCATGCGGTAGATTTTCCGGTTCTGGGAGAAAAAGAGAGAAGCAAAGTGTGAATCAGAAGTAGTGAGTCCCGGAGTGCGAGTGCGGAACACAAAACAAGAAGGAACGCAATGACGCAGCATACTTACGACTCAAAAAAGGCCCAAATTTTCTTCTTGTCACCCTATTCTTCAGCATGGAATTAAAATAAAATTAAAAAAAAAAATAGACAAAAAAAATGTACATGTGAATCAACAATAATTATGATTTTAAAATTTATTTCAAGGATAATTTTTAATGAAGATAATAAAATTCTTTGTTGGGACCATTTATCAAATTTGAACAGTATATGCTAAGATATTAAAACAAAAGTGAATAGTTATTATGGTATACTAATCATTTAAAATGATTGGATGAGTAGAAGGTAAATAAGAGAGAAATAGATAAGAATGAGTTTCAATAGGATTGTAAAATATTTAAATTTTGTATGCATAAATACAGGTGTTGTATTCTATATTTTTAATGAGTTAAAAAATTAATATTTATATTAATTTTAGTTATATAATTTCTTAAATAAATTATGTGTGATTAGTTTTTTATTTTATTTGAATTTATCTATTATATAAAATAAAACAATTAAATATAGTAAGAAAAAGTATTTTATTTTGTTAATATAATAGAAACATCTGCTTTTATGCCTGTATTTGTATAGAGTATGAAACAAGGTATAAAACCAAGAATTGAGTAAAAGGGATTAGTGTTATGAACATAAGGTTCTGAGTTTGATGGTTGATGAAAAAAATTATTGATTAAAATTTACTTACTTTTTTTTAACTGAATTAATCTAAGGTGTGCCTTATTATCCAATAACAATAATATTAAAAATCTATTAATTTAGATAAACTATATTTCAGAATAGATTTTATAAGAATTGGAAAAAAAATTATGACATTCGTTCGAAATTTGTTATGAACATAAGGTTCTGAGTTTGATGGTTGATGAAAAAATTATTGATTAAAATTTACTTACTTTTTTTAACTGAATTAATCTAAGGTGTGCCTTATTATCCAATAACAATAATATTAAAAATCTATTAATTTAGATAAACTATATTTCAGAATAGATTTTATAAGAATTGGAAAAAAAATTATGACATTCGTTCGAAATTTGTTATGAACATAAGGTTCTGAGTTTGATGGTTGATGAAAAAAATTATTGATTAAAATTTACTTACTTTTTTTTTAACTGAATTAATCTAAGGTGTGCCTTATTATCCAATAACAATAATATTAAAAATCTATTAATTTAGATAAACTATATTTCAGAATAGATTTTATAAGAATTGGAAAAAAAATTATGACATTCGTTCGAAATTTTTACACCTACATCTTCAATTCTAATCTTTGAAGTGTAACTTCATACAATTATAACTCAATAACAGTTGAACATTTCTTTCACAGTGAATGTAGTACAATCAAATTAACAACTTGGAAGTCAAATCAATGAGAATAATTGTAAAAGTTATTTCTGAAGAAAGTGTCCACTGAATACTGATAAGACTACTTAATTGGTTTTAAGAGGCACGTTTCCCTTAAATCTCTCCCTGTGAAATATCCTATGATTTGTAGATGGCAAAACAAGGCTAGCCTTGTAGGCTTTTGATACAGTGTTAAGTATGAGGGCCAAGCTTAGCTTCTCACTTTTTGATTGGTCTATGCACATTGATCCTAGAGACAGTGTCTGTTTAACTTGATGAAAATTTGTTTCATTTATTTCCATTCTCTCATCAATCATCTGTAGCAAATCTGCAAGATTAAGAGTTCTACTCATGTACGTAAAAAATCCAGCATCACCTCCTCCAAACTCCTCTTGAACCCTCTTATTTAGTATCATCTCTAGCAGAAATATTCCAAACCTATGTATCTCTACAGAATAAAAGAAAATACCAATTAGCAAACATAAAAAAAGAAAAAGGAAAAGACATCACAAGGAAGGAATGTTGTTTGTGCTAATTGTCTATTATTCTTACTTCTTTGATTGTTGTTGTGATCTCCAACTTTGAACCTTGATATTAACGGTTCCATGTTGTCAGACAGCAAAAGACTACTTGTGTCGAGTTCATAGTCGATTTCAGGCCATTCCTCCTGCAAATAACGCATGCATTCTACAACCCCCATTAACACTTTCACTCTATGATTCCATGGTGGACCTGATCCTGATAACCACATTTCAACATTTTCTTCTCTTGTCCATTCTGTTATAATGGCCCTGAATTTTCTGCTCTTACACCACCCCAGAACTTTAACAAGGTTTTTGTGGTGTAACTTACACAGAACCTTGCATTCCTCAACAAATCTACGGTAACTATCCCTCGGTATGTCATCCCAGTACATCTCAATTTTCACTTCTGTACCATCTCTCAAGATCCCTTTGTAAATGTGAACAACATCACTCATCCCCACCAGATACTTATTTGAAAAACCATCAGTTGCTGCCTTTAGAATTGCTGGTGTAAACCTCCTACCTCTTTGAAGTTTACTAGGTAGAAAATCAGGCCTTTGGAAACAAAGCCATACCAAGCAAATTACCATAAATATGACAAGGGTGGGAAAGCAAACTAATAGGGCAACAGCCTTCAGTGTAAACCTTTTTTGGTCCAAGAGAGCACCAGAATGAAGAAAACTAGAAGAATTAAACCTTTTGAAGAATTGGGAATCAGACAGTTTACTCTCTGAAAAACAATTATAGGAGAGGTTGAGAAAAGTGAGGTTGGTCAAGGGAGAGAAGCTTTGAATTGGAATGTCACCAGAAAATGCATTGATACTTAGATCAAGAGACTGGATTTGGGTGCAACAGAAAACATCGGTTGGAAAACCACCCTTCATAGAGTTGTTGGACAAATCAATAGACATAATGCTCAAGGGGCAATACTTCCAAAAGAAATCAAAGGACAAATAAAGTGGTGCAATATTTGGGCGGTTTCTAAGATCAACTTTGGGGAATGACTCTACACAATTGGGGTTCTTTGATTCATTGCAGAGATGGCTTGCAACAATAGTAAACTTGAATATTTCATCAAAGTCCATCGTGGGAGAGGAACTGCAGTACCTAAGAGACGGATTCTTGAGACAGTTGGACAGAATTGTAGAGTTAAAATCTGGTGGTTGATGCAAGTTTTTGAGGTCTTCGACCACTGTTGCACATAGTGTTGTGGGGCATAACAATAACATTGTGAGAAGAAACAAGTAGCAAGTAAAAGAAATGGTAGCCATGATTGTGACTGAGTTAATTTTTTAGCACATTTGATTTCGGGGTGACAGATACTCATAATTTGGATTTGCAGTTGGCAAAAGAAACTAACTTAAACGTGCAGTTCCGCCTGTTTTGCAGTTCGCAAAGAATCTAAGTCTCGTTCCTCTCTACTTGCATGTGTTCCAATCAAACAACAAATAATATAACAATAGAAAAATTTTGATACTCGCGCTTATTATAAGTTTTGGAGACCTTCTTGCAGTATTACTGAAAGTTTTAAACCATCCTTCATGTTTTTGAAGTTCCAAACTCATACTTATTTTGTACTCTAGTGATACTCTATGTAGTCATTAGTGTGAATTGATATATCGTTAGAAATGGTCTTTAAATTTAAAATTAACAATTCGTCTAAATTCTTTTACAAGAAACATTCTATTTTAATGTTAACATATTTTTTATATGTATATTGAATACATATAAATGAGTTTACAAAATACATCTGAATTTTATTTTGGAAGTTATGAAGAAAAATGAAGGTAAAATGAAAAACTAATCAAACAAAAGTTATTACATAAAATACTAATTCATTTAAAAAAAGCGTTTCACAATAAACTTTTTAAAAACCCGCCCAATGTCAATATTGTAGTTAAAAATGCATTATTACTCAATTTATCGCTAAAATATTTTTTTATAAATAGAATTTTTAAACATCAAATATCAAATGTCATAGACTAAAGATAAAAAAAATGACACATTTATTCTTGACATACTTCTGAGATATTTTGATAAGAATTATTTAACCAACCAAATCTCACCAAAATTATAAACATGGAGTAAAATATTATATATTTAAATGTTGAATGATATTTTTTTAAAATGTGTTATTTATTTATAAATGTTAATAAATAAATAAATAGTTTTAAAAGTAATTTTTTTCATAATCATTGATCACTTTATATATATATATATATATATATGAATTAAATTGTATTTAGAAATTAAATTTAATGAATATAAAAAATTATAATAATATAAAAAACAAAAACTATTTTTAAAAAATTATTTTAATCTTTTTAAGTAAGGAAGGATAAGAAAGGATTTCATGAATATACAACTTATTAATAAATAACAAATAAGTTAAAGCCAATTGGTTGACCCATCATGTTACCTATAAAATGACGAGATGGATTGGTAATTATAGTTCGTTAACCTATTTTAACTTACATAATATTGTGTGATATACTTCAATTTTAATGAGTATCTCTAAATTAGGACATTATGAGTATGTGTTTGAAATAAAAATCTTATATCTCTATCATTCTCAAATGTTTAATATTATTTTGGATTATTTCTCGATAACAACTCATCCTGTTAAAATTTAAAAAAAAAATACATTTTTAATCTTGCATAAAAATTCTATAATCGAAATCTTAGATAATTTTAGATAATTATTCTCAAGTGTTGAATGATATTTTGGATAATCTCTTAACAACAACGTCATGTTTGATTTCAAATAAAATTTCCTCTTGTTAATGATCATAAAGTGGATTGCCGTAATATTCTTTTTATCCAACTATTTTTCTTATTAATGACCTTTTTTAACATGTATTAAACTTTTAAACTACAAGGTAAAATTTGTTCATTTAAGATTTTACTATTTTTTTCCGTAAAAAAACAATATTCTTGTTGTTGTTATTTTATACTAATTTGATTACTACCAATGTTGAATTATATTGATTAATTAATTTCAATAATTTAGTCCTTAAATACCTTCAAATTTCTGACCACTCCATCAAATTAGACATAATTTAGTTTGATAAGTGAAAAGAGGTCGTAGGTTGGATGAAAAAAAAAGAATGATATGGGTTGACATAATTAATAGTAAAAAATTTATAGAAAATATATAATTTTGATAACTTTCATTACAAGATATGATTGTTAATAACATTGATAATTAAATTATGGAAATCAATAACTCATTAACAAAATATAAACAAAAATAGAAAAAATTATGCCAAATGAAAAACATGTGAGATTTTGTTTATCCTTATTGAAATTTTAATATTATCAATTTTTTTATATTACCGCTTTTTAAAGTTAAAATTTTATAATTGCTACTCAACCTTAAAATTTAACAGCTTTTTTTTTTATCTATTTCGAATTGTATCTTCAATGTTATAATCTAACTCTCAAACTTTGTAATTGGGATTTACATTTTTTTACAATCCAAAAATTCAATTTATAATCAAAAGATGTAATTTTCTCTCCAGAAGTTATTAATAATAAGAATTGTTTAAAAATAAATGTAATTATTTTATTATAAATCTCATATATATATATATATATATATATATATATATATATATATATATATATATTAAATTAGATAAAATTGAGTAAAATTTAAAAAAAAATACTTATGTAAATAACTTTTACCTATTTTTACATAACTTATGTGTGAAGGTTTTAATAAAATTTTAATTTTAATTTCTAATTAACTCAATTTTGAGTGACTTAATGTTCTAATATACAGGGGTGTCAAAATAAGTTTAGTTCAATGGACCAGTCCCAAAAAATAGGTCAAGTTAGGCCAAAAAAATTATGACATAAATAGAATCGGACAAATTTTGGCCCAATCTATTTAGGTCGAACTTAAATGGGTTTAGGTCAGGCTAACCCGTAGGATTATAGACTCGACTCATTTTATAAAATAATAATTATTTTACTAATAAAATAAGAGTAATATTGTTTTATTAGAAAATATAGGTATAATAAATTAATTTGATAATATATTTTGTTATATATATATATATATATATATATATATAATTTAGAAAGAATAATAAATTTTAAACATAATCTTCATTTACATTGTGGTCATATTTGTTTTTAAAGGCCAATAATTTAATATGATAAATTCTTAAATGTAATGTATGTTTAAAGTATCATGATGTGAGAGTTATATTGGATAAGAAAATTTGTTGAAATAATGAAAATTTGAGTATAAAATGTACGACGAGCTTGAAAGGTAAATAAAGTTTACGTTTTAAACCAATTACAAGAAACACTTTGTGTATTTAACAAAAAATAAAAAGTTAAAAGATGTGTCATCTAATATTTTTTTGTAGGATATTTTAAATAAATTACTAGAAACACTTTAATTACAGAAATTTATAACGTGTATTTAACTGAAAAGAAAAAACTAAAAAATATGATATCTAATATATTTTTGTAAGACATATTTGACTTCTCATGTAAGGACAATTATAACTCTCAAAGTTACACGACTATAAAATCTCATTTTTATGATTTTATATATTTGTTTTTATTTTACTTGAATAAATTACGAGTTAATTTTAAATAAATAATTTTTTTTTCAAACAAAATTAAAATAAGTTATATAAATAAAAAAATTATTTTTAATTAGACTATAAATGGTCAATTTATAGTTAGTCTAACGGGTACAAAATTTTGGTATATTTTAAAATATATAACATACGGTCATTGGATTTGTTTTACTTGTAGAACCATGCCATTATTTTTTCTTCACCTTTTCACTTCTCCAATTGCTTATTTGAATTTCTTTCTCCCTTCCTCTTCCCATTTTACTATGCCTCATCCACACATCCTAGCCCACACTGAAGATTTCTGGTTCACAGTGCCCTTCTTCTTCCACCATGCTCTGCGGTGGGATGCTCGTTACCAATGTACTTTGTGTTCAAGGTTTCTACCCCATAGTGCCCTTTTCCTTCTCCCTTATCCTGCATTCATGGGTTTTACTCCATAGTGGGTTGCTCGATGTTGTCGGTTCTACTCCGCAGTGGGTTACTCGTCGTCGCGTTCGTGGGTTTTGCTACGGTGTAAAAGAGAACAAAACAAATGGCAGACAAAGGCTGTGAACCAATGATTGAGAAAATGATTTCTTCTCTTTTGTATATTCATGAAAGCAAAGCAGTATATTTATATACAACCTATTGTCTATGAAAGGACAAAAAAGGAATAACAGAAAATTACAACAAAGGGTACAATAGAGGGTGAGGTGTAGTTGTATCAGGAATAGACAAAATTTGTACAATATGAGCTTATGTATTTGTATTCAATTGGGCTGGGGTTGCTGGTTTATTGAGCTGTTGTGGATCCTCTCATTCTTCCTCTTTTAGCCCCTCACAAGATGGAGGTTTGAAGATGTCAAGAAGCTCCAACTTGGATAAATTGGAGTGAAACAACCTGGAGGGAGCGCTTTAATGAAAATATCTGTTAACTGATGTGATGATGAGACGGGTAAGAGGTGCATGAGACTAGCGAGTAATTTTTCACGAACTATGTGACAATCAATCTCTACATGTTTCGTCCTTTCATGAAAGACTGGGTTAACTGCAATGTATAATGCACTTTGGCTATCACAATAGAGGACATAATGCTTAACAATAAGAATTCTCAAATCACTAAGGAGGAAAGAGAGCCAATGAAGCTCACAAGTGGCACAGGCAAGTGCCCTGTACTCTTCTTCTGCTGAAGATCGAGAAACTATATTGCTTCTTGGCTTTCTAGGAGACTAAAGAGTTGCCAATAAAAAAACAATAACCAGTGATTGAACGTCGTGTATCAACACAGTAGCCCAGTCAACATCACTAAATCCAAGAAGTTGTGTTGAGGACTTGCGACTGAAAAAATAAACCTTTTCCAGGACATCCTTTCAGATAGCGAATCACCCTTAAGATAGCTTGAAAATGAGTCTAAGTTGGTGCTACCATTAATTGACTGAGTTGTTGAGTGGCAAAGACTATACCAGGTCTTGTGCTGGTTAAATAAATGAGACGTCCTACTAACCATCTGTATAATAAGGAATCAGCTAAAGGTTCACTGGAGTCTTGATGAAGACGCAAAACATCATCTATTGGAGTGGAAGAGGGTTTGCAACCCATGAGACCATAATTTTTAATCAAATCCAAAAAAATATTTGCGTTGACATATAGAAATTTCTTTGCTAGAATGAGCCACCTCTATTCCCAAAAAATATTTCAATTGACCAAGATCCTTTGTATGGAAATGAGAGTGAAGAATGGTCTTAATTTTAGCAATTTCAAAAGCATAATTTTCAGTAAGCACGATATCATCAATGTAAACAACGAGAGCAGTGAAAGCAAAACCAGTAACTTTGACAAATAAACTATGATCATCATGCACTTGAACATACCCAAAAGACAGTAATAGGAGAGATAAATTTTTATACCATTTGCGACTTGCTTGTTTCAAGTCGTAGAGTGATTTATTAAGCTTGCAACAATGATTAGAAGGATGACCAGAGAGTCCAAGAGGAATTACCATATACACATCTTCTGAAATGTCTCCGTGGAAAAAAACATTGCTGACGTCAAGTTGTTGCAAATCCAATTTTGGATTGATGCGAAAGCTAAAAGGACCCTGACTGTAGCCATTTTTACGACAGGGGAGAAAGCTTCTAGGTAGTCAATCCCTTTAATTTGTGAGTACCCTTTCACAACTAGGTGAGCTTTATAGCACTCCAAAAATCCATCAGGCCTACGCTTAATTTTGAAAACTCATTTGCATCTGATGGGTTTGAGAGAGGGAGGCGTGGCCACAATGTCCCAAGTCTTTTTCTTCCTCAAGGCCATAATTTCGGCTTGCATCGCCTCTTCCCAACAAGGTTGGGTAACAACCTCTTTATACGTGTTTGGTTCTTCCTCTTTATTGAGACACATCAGAAAGCGAGAATGAAGAGAAAACAAGTGAGAATAAGCAACGACGGACTGGATAGGATACGAGATCTTTGAAGGGGATTGATTATAAACCTTTGGAACAATTGTCAAATCACTTGAAGAAGTGTTACAATAATAATCATCAAGATAGCTTGAGCGAGTAGTGACACGGGTAGAATGTCGTAGTGGAGGTGGAGGGGAATTTGGTGGCAGTGAGGATGGAGAAGGTTGATGGTGCGGTGAGGAAGAGTTGCTAGTATGTGATGGAGAAGGTAAACTAGGACTAAGAGTGAGGTCCAGGGAGTTTAAGAGCTCTTGGTGAGTGGGTGACTCAAAGGGAGGGTGGTGGGAATAATCTATTTCAGGTTCTGGGAGAGTGTGAATATGAATTGGGCTGGTGTCATGGTCAGATGATGTATTTGTAGTGGATTGTGAAGCTGGATAAGACTATGAACCAATGATTGAGAAAATGATTTCTTCTCTCTTGTATATTCATGAAAGCAAAACCGTATATTTATATACAACCTATTGTCTATGAAAGGACAAAAAAGAAATAAAAGAAAATTGCAGTAGAGGGTACAACAGAGGGTGAGGTGTTGGAATGCCTAAATACAATACAGAAACCTCTAATATATATTACCTAATAGAATATACAGTTGTATCAGGAATAGACAAAATTTGTACAATATGAGCTTATATATTTCTATTCAGTTGGGTTGGGTTGGGGTTATTAGTTTATTGAGCTGTTGTGGATCCTCTTGTTCTTCTTCTTTTATGGTGGTTACCTTTGATTTATCCATTTTCTTTTTCATGTTTGTTTAAGGTGTTCATCATGACAAATGATACCTCTTAGAGGTAATATTGTGACTTTAAGAATTTATCATATTTATAATATCTTGAAATATGTTTCATTATCTACTTATTTTTCTATTTTTCATTTCATTCTTGTAGGTAATTAACCTTTGATTGAATAACATAATAAATTCCAATCAATGTCTAAACAATATTTATTTTAATAAGCAACTTAAATCAATTTTAAACTATTTTTCTCTATGATGTCATTTTTTTTCTAATATAAAAATTGCTTAAAACTGTTATTATAAAGAGATGCTCTAATGTAAATAAATAAAAAATGAAAAATGAAAATAAATAACAAAATAAAAATTCGTTATAAAACCTATTGTATAAATAACTAAGCTTTTAGTAAATCTTACATCAAATTTAGTAATAGATTGTTAGAAAAATCTGACGAGAGTATTTCCGTATTAAATAGTTAAGCCGTTAATGAATCTTATGTAATAAATAGTTATCAACTTGGTAATAAATGGTTAACAAGAGAGTTTATAAAATAAATAAAAATGAGTGTTATACTTATTTTTATAATTACACTGAAATTTTATGCATAATAAAAATATACTTTAAAAATACAAATTTCCTTTAAAAACTTATGTAACTGTTTTTTAACTTTTTTTAAAATTAATTATTTTATAACTAATTTTTAATATTATTTTTTAAAATGTGTATATATAGTACTGTATTTTCACTAATTTTATTTAAGAAATTAACAAATTAACGGTTAAAAAGAAAGAAAGAAAGAAAGGCCTTTATAAGGCAAGACACCCTGTGCTTAGAGTGAAGACAATTTCAAATTCTAAATTTGAAAAGAGTCTTAGAGAGAGAAGAGAGAAGAGAGAATGGCATCGGACTGTGGAAACATAAAGGGTTTTTTCCGAGAGAAGAAATCCACCGCCGCAACCAAATCTCCCACTAAATATTCCAACAAATCTCCGAATGCCGCTGCCACTTTAGGCTCCACTGCGGCCCAACCACCGGCCCTCGTCTCCCACGGCGGAAAACCCGACCTCCAAGGTCCATTCTAATGCTTAGGGTTTATTTTTTTACCCCAATCTCATCTCTCTCTTTCTATTTTACAGATGATAAACACAACGAGAAGAACGAGGCGCTGCTGAGGCAATTCGACGTGAACATGATGTATGGGCCTTGTATCGGTTTGACACGGCTGGAGCGGTGGGAGCGTGCTCAGAGCCTCGGTCTGAACCCTCCACCGGAAATCCAGAGCCTCTTGAAGAGCGGGAAAGTTAAGATGGAGTCCATGTGGAGTGGTCGCATTTAGGGCCAGATTTCTTGTTCTCTTGCATCGGGTTTTAGTTATGAATATCATGTTTTGCTCTGCTAACTGGCTCAACCCTATTGTAATGTGTATCAGTGGGTGTGTTTATAAAGTGGTGTCTCTCTTTATTGCCATTTTTGGCTTTCTTCAATATTGCCATAGTTGAAGCTCAAGATTATCTTCTTTAATTTCCCTCCATCACAATCTTTTTGTTTTAGATGTTGCATCTTTTATAACTCAGTCAACATTTTCCACCGATATACTTGATCAAGAAATTGTAGAACAATATTATAGTTATTCAATTAGGAGATATTTTTATTTTATTATCCACCTTCATTACAGACAAACAATGAAATTCACATACTCTTTTAGTGTATAAATATATAATTTATTGGTATGTAGAAGTACAATTTGTTTAAGAGATAAATAAATAATGTGTTTAAATGAGACTTATAAAGAGTAGCATCACCTTTATACAAGGTAAATAGATAGAAGAGCTAAAAGATGAAATTTGGAAAAAATAATAATGTTATAATTATAATCAATTAAAAAATACGTTATAAACCTTTGTATAAATAATTAAGCTTTTAGTGAATCTAACATGAGACTTGGTAATAAATTTGTTAACGGTCAACTATTAAATAATTAAGCTTTTTAATAAATCTAAAATCAGAATTGGTAATAAGATACTGACAAGAGTTTTTGCTCTGAAAAGTAGTGTTTACTAGATAAATTAAAGAATTGTAGATATTTTTATATACATAATGCATTCTTTATTTAATTGAAATGTTACTTGCATAATAAAAAATACTTTAAAAGGTGTAAGAGAAATTTGCTTCTATTTAAAAAATTTGAATCTTGAAAATTATAAAAAAATATTAAATTAATGATGTAAAAAATAAAAAAAGGTTTTATAACACAGTAAATGTCTTATAAAACCAATTGAGTTACTGGATAGCATAATCATTATCGGATCCTCTTCACATCTAGTCAATATCTTTGTCTTTAATCTTAAGACTCCAGGGATTATATAACACCACATATCTTCATTGGAGTATGGTAGCCTAGGGTGAGCAATAAGGCACCTTAATAATCCCTTACATTAATAGAAGTCGATGGCAGATTAAAGTTAAAAAATATATAAGAAATTATGATATATAATTTAATATTTTAACGTCATAATCGAAAAAATTAAAAAATATAAAAAAAATTATAATACATAATTTAATATATTAAGATCTTTTGATTGAAAGTGATATTTGAATTTAACTCATGTTATTTTTTCTTATATAAATTCTTCTATTAATGTTTCATTGATAGACTAATATTTTAATTTTAAGAAATTATTTGTAGGTCCATTTTTCCAAACTATTTTGACATTGAGATAAAATTATTTTCGTCATAAACCACTGTTTCAAATAAAATTCAAAAAATAATTATAATTATTAAAAGAATTTAAAGAAAAATATGAGAAATGAAAAATATATAAGTTGAGATTAAAAATTCTATGATCTAAATTAAAATTAAGTATATTTTAATCCAATTTACTTAGTTATAATTTATATGATTTAGATTAGGTTAATCCATATAGATCGAACATATTTTATAAAAAATAATATTATTTTGCTATAATATATATATATATATATATATATATATATATATAATATTATAATATAATTTGAAAAATGTGAGACACATCAAAATAACCTATTTCATTAATTAAACCCTTCTTATTTTTATAGAAAATAATAAATAATATATATATATATATATATAAATAATTTAAAATAATTATACTTCATCATAATTTTTTAATAATTTATTGATTGAATAATAATATTGAAAATTAATTAATAATTATGAAAAATACAGATATTCAAATTATTATTATTATTATTATAACAAAATTATTAACAACAATCATTAATTTATCATTATCTTCGTACCCATTCTTTTAATACAATTTGTTAAAAAAAAATTAGAGACTGGATAATAATATTTTTAGTGATGAATAAACATGTCATTTTTTTAATTTAGTGATTGAATAATAATATTAAAATTAATTAATAATTATGACAAAGATAAATATTAAATTATTATTATTATTAATATACAAATAGTTAACAACAATAATTAATTTACTATTATCTTTATACATATATTCCTGAAATTAAAATAACACTAATTATTTTTATAAATTATAATAATAACCAATAATTTTATCGCTATTATTTATATAGTTGTGATATTAAATTAATAATAATTATTTTTATAAATTATCATGAATAACTAATTTATTATTATTATTTTTATATATATTTGTGATATTAAATTAGTTTATATATTTTTATAAAATTTTAATAGTAATAATTGTATAATTTATTAATATTGTCATTAACGTTAAATATTTTATCACTAACAAAATATTTATAGTATTTTGTTTTTTAATATTTAGATATTGTTACCTATTAATAATGATAAATTAATTTTTTTAATGAAAAATATTATATAACTACAATTAATTTATGTTTGTAGATCTTAATTCTTGATATTTTATTACAGAATGTTATTATCAAAATACATCTTAATTTAGTAGGAAGAATTATAGGAAAAGTGAAAAAATAAAAAATAGACCAATAAGAGAAACAACATTTTAAACGTAAATAGATAAAAATAAAAATGTAAAATAAAATAAGTAACATAATATTGAAATAAAAAAATATAGTAAAAATAATTATACTTTTAATAAATTTAATATTAAATATGCTAATAAATTTTGAAAATTTTAATTTAATTAAAAATTTAAATAATTAAATATTAATAAAAATACAGTTATTTTTGTATTTAAACTAAGTCTTTACACAAAAGAAAATTATTTTAATTAAGATGTTCAGAATTGAACTAATAAAAAAATTATAAATAAATGAAAATATGAAAATTGAGATCTCATTAGATATTTTGGATTCAAATTTTTAAATATGATTTGATTTTTAAATTAAAAATAACAATTGAATTAAATCCAATCAAATTATTTATTATGATTAAATATAATATTAAAATTTATTGGATATAGAATAATATTTTGAAAATTATTTTTAAACCTTTGATTTTATTTTATTTATAATATAAATTTTATTTAAAAAACTGTTTTCAATTTGCAAAATATATTTTAAACAAGTTTTTTAAAATCTAAAACCGGCTTTTAAAAAGAAGTCTCAGCTTCCCCTCCAGAATTACATTTTCAAAATTCAAATTTGAAGAGAGATATTGGAGAGAAGAGAGAATAAAATCAGGGCCGGAAACATGAAGAGTTATTACCGGCAGAAGAAAACCACCGCCACAAAGAAATCTTCCAGAAAAACACCGGTTAAAGCTTCCACTTTGGCTCCAATAAAGGCCGAAATCCAAGGTGTTTTCTAATTCATAGGGTTTTTATTTTCAATTCAAACTCATTTTTCTCTATCTATTATGGTTAAACAGTGAAATTTTGTGTGCAGATGAAAAGGAGAAGTTGTTGAGACAATTCGATCTGAACATGGCGTGTGGGCCTTGCGTTGGGATTACGCGTCTTGAACGGTGGGAGCGTGCTCAGAGTCTCGGTTTGAATCCTCCACTGGAAATTGAAAGCCTCTTGAAGAGTGGAAAAGTTCAGATCAAATCCTTGTGGGGTACTCGCATTTAGGGTGTGTCTTTTTTTTAAAGAAAAAAATAAAATCCATTAATTTTTGTGCATTTAGGTTTTGCTTAAGAAATTCAGCTTCTTGCTGTGTTCCATGTTATGTGACTCTAAACCAAACATTATGAATGCTGATTTCAGAGAAATTTTTTTTGTTTTCTTAACTGGTTTATACATTCTTAAATGTGTGTGAATGTGATTGTTTATAAATTGGTGTCTGTCTCACTTCATTCTCAAATTTGAATTGTTTAATATTATTGAAACTAATGATTAATCTTTTAAAGTGATAAAGAGATAAAAAAAAATTCGTGTAATTTGTATCAAAGTAGATTTGATTTCGTTGTTACTAATTTTTTTTTCTATATCTGTACTTTATATTATGAGATTTCTCTTTTTAATATTTTTTATGATTAAAATATTATAGATTTGAGAAGTAATAGAAAAGTAAAAAAAAATATATATAATACTTATAACAAGAGAAAAGTCGTGTGATAAAATAAAATAAAATTATAAAATCTTAAAAAAAAATTTCAAAAAATTTAATAATATAAAAATGTTATTTAGGCATTTTAATGTCGTCTTATCACTTATAAAACTATTATGTTTTATCAATTATATGATTATGTATAATTGAAGTTTGTTATATTATAATAATTAAGAGGAAAAATAATATAAAAAAATTAATATGATATTATATATTAAAAAAAATAAAAAGTGGAAAAAAATAATACAAAATACTCGTAGTAAAATAAAAAAATTAATAATATAAAAATATGGATACATTTTAATACATGTATTTTCACTTGTCATTATAATATGAAGGGATTTGAAGAATTTTCTTTTAACTACTGATTAATGTTATTGTTTTAATAAATTATTTATCTTGTATTTCTTTTCAATTATATTCTCTTTAACTTTTCTTGAATATAGATTAAATAAATAAAAATAACTAAAAATTTATTTTCATTCTTTCACTTTCTTAATTATTTATTTTTCTCAAATTTTTAAATATAAATTAATAAAAAATATTATTTCTCTTCTTGTTTTTTCAATTAAATAAATTTTTATTTTTTAACTTTATTCGTGAATTATAATTAATAATAATGATACAAATAAAAATGTTACGTCAACTATTATCGTTAATATATATATATATATATATATATATATATATATATATATATATATATATATATATATATATATATATATATATATATATATATATATAGTCTATGTAGGAAAAACAGATTAAATATTGAATAAAAATCATACATGGAAAAACATGAGAAAGACTAATATTCTTTATTATATATCAATTTGGAGTGCAAATTCAGAAATAAATAACCCATCAATTTCAATTAAAATAATTAAATTGTGAAAAAAAGTTAGTTGGTAAAGTGCAATAAATGACATTAAATGTACTATTAAGATGTTTTTCTTTGTCCCCATCTTAGATGATAACCCCTCAAAGAAGACATCACATTTTACAACATAATAATGAACCATTTTGCAAAAAAAAAATGTTATTATAAAAATGCTCAAATGTTTTAAATCCTCTCTCACTAATCTACAAGTTTCACTCTAATCATTTGCTTAAGTTGCTTTGAGTTGTAAAATTATCTTATTATACATTTAAATTTTTAATATTATTTCAGATATTATTTGATTATTTAATAAGAATTCAAATAGAAAATAATAAATATTAAAGAATTTAAAGTACGGACAAATAAATTAAAAAAATCAATGGTTGAAAATATAAATTACAAGAATTATAAATTAAAAACGTTAATTATTGAAAATATAAATTATAAGAAATGTAAAATTATTAAGAATAAAACATAAATAATATATAAAATTAATAAAAATATAACTCAAATTATCAATAATTTTATTGAAATAATTTTTTTCTATATTCATGTTATTTTTTATAATATAAATATCTTAATATAATTTATTATTATTCTTAAAAAATATAAATATCTTAGTATAATATGTTACTATTGTTTTACTTATTTAATCTTATTTATATTATTATTATTATTTCTGACCATGACTAAAAATAAAAATGATTTCATTTTTTATTAATATTTTTTTAGTAGTTTCATCTTCTTATAATCGTTCTTTTCACAATAAAGTTATAATCGATTCTTAATAACTATTTTTTTATAACAACTTTCTCTTGATTTTCTAATTTCTTTATGTGACTATATCTTCTTTTTCAATAGTTTTATTTCAATTTTTTCATTGTCTTCTTTTCCTTGAGTCTTTTTTTCTCCCTTTTATTAATATAGTTAATTTTATTTCAACTCTACATTCTAATTTTAATTCTTTTATTCAATTTTCTTCTATCAATATTTTTAACTTGAATCCTCTAATATTTTTTTCAATTAACTTCTTTATTAATATCTCTATTTTTAACTCATATCCTTAATTTTAATATTTTTACAAACTAATTCATCTATAAAATTGCAATAAAATAAAAAATTGGTATTATTTGTTATTACTTCAAACTTATAATATTAATATTTTTTAATAATGTTTAATGACATATCTTAATTATTGATTCAAATAACATATTATTAATAAATAAATAAAAACAAAAAATATAATAAATTAAAATTATAAATATAAATATATATTTAATAATTATTAAATTTAAAGATATATAAATTACCAAACTTAACAGGAGGCCGTGCTCCACCAACCATTGGTTTCTCCAAATTCGGACAAACAAAATATTCACTGTAATACAACTACTAGTCAAAACAGCAATATCATTGATAAGAACAGAAACAAATTTAATCAATTTTAATTTTAAATTTTAAAAATTAAAAAGACTATAAACTGTTTTTAAACAATAAATAATACTTTTTCCTTCATATACAACCATTATCGTTTTTGTAATTTCATCAATTTTATTTCTTCTTTTCTTCTTTATGTATGTTTTAAAAAATATATGATTGCTTACAAACTTTACAAAATGTTTATACATTTCTAAATGTTTATTATCAAAGAGAGTTGGTTTTAGGGTTTTACAGAATAAAAATATATTTAATCCTTTTTAATATTAATACTAATATTAAAATTTGTCTTACTTTAAGGTTTATTTAAAATAAATTTATAATAATTTTTAAAAAATATGTTATACATCTTTATTGATTGTTTTGTTTTTTATTACTGATATTTTATAGGGACATCTTAAAGATAATTTATCGAATAAATTGTTTTTTTTTTCTGAATATTTAAGACATCTTTAAATTTATTTAAAGAGAATTGATCAGCTTATATTCTTTTGGTGAATATTAAGGTTATCTTTAAGCTATTTTAGGAATAAAAACAACAAAAAAGTATATGTTTGTAAAAGGGAAAAATAAAACATGTTTTTAATAATTTCAATGAATAAGTACAATTATTGTTGTTTAGAATGAGCTACGTCGAATTAATGTATAGGAGAAAGATTCCTACCCAACAATTCGTACTATTTCGTTAAGTTCATATGGATTGTATATATTAATTGTATATATTTTAAATAGAATACAAACCGTTGGATCTTCATCAACTGGATCGATCCAATTGGTTCATGCATAAATGCCTGAAGTTAGCGCGACCTTAGAGAATCCGTGCTCGAACCACAACCATTTCGGTAAAAAGAAGTGCTGAGAATTCGGAAGAAGTGGAATCAGAGACTTAGACAGATGGTGAAAATTTCAGTTGGTGGGTATGATGATGGAGAAGGACCCAGCAACCGCAACCAGAAGCGACGAAGGGAAGAGGAGGAGGAAGAAGAAGACCGAAACTCGCAACGAAGCTTTGAAATTGTAGACCGTTCAATTGAACTTCAAAAGCGTGAAGATCGTCCTCCTCCACCCCTTCGTGCTAACGCAAATGGGTCTGCAAGCAATGGCACCAGAGTTAGGTCCATTCCAATCTTCGTTTCAGATCCTGATGTCCTCGATTGCTGCATTTGCTATGAACCCTTGAGTGCCCCTGTCTTCCAGGTTAATTTCCCTTCGCGCCCCTCTTTTTCTTTTGTCTGATCGTGGCTTTTTCTCTGTCAATTTTACATATTTTTGGTTTTTCTTGTGGTGATTGTATGCGAATCTTCATTTCTTTCGTCTGTTTGGTAAATTGATTCTGGATGGAGTGAGGTAGTGTGGAGGGGTTTTTCGTTGACGCATGAAAATTTTAGTTGGGATTCTCAGCGTTTTATGGTTGTAGATTGCTTGTAATTTTGAAACATGGAGGGATAAAGGGGGGTTTTAAGTTGTTGACCTTGGATTTAAGGTCCAACAGTTGGGTAGTGATTAGGTTGGTTACTCTTGTGATGGAGATTTTGTCCAGTACTAAACGGAATCGAGAAACTGTGGGACAATGAACATAATGTTCTGACACAGTGAAGGTCCACAAACCTAATGTTATGTAATCAACTCATTATATTTTCCTTTAGTAAAGGTTTTCCTATCTCTATTTTTCCTTTTGTTTGCTATCTGTTTTGTTATGTAATGGAAAAGCCAATTTGATATTTTTCTTTGTCATTAAATGACAATTCAGTGTGAGAATGGACATATTGCTTGCTCTAATTGCTGTGTCAGACTCAAGAACAAGTGTCCCATGTGTTTAATGCCTATTGGGTATAACCGTTGTCGGGCTATTGAGAAGGTGTTGGACTCTATTAAGATGTCATGCCCGAATGCAAATTATGGCTGCACAGAGACATTTTGTTACAGCAAAAAAAACGACCATGAGAAAGAATGCATCTATCTACCATGTTTATGCCCACATACTGGTTGCGATTTTGTTGCCTCGTCCAAGGAGTTATTCCTCCACTTCAGGCACAGACATACAGACTCTGGAACACAGTTTACATATGATAAATTTTTCACAGTCATCTTCAGTGCTGATCAAAAAACAATTGTTCTTCAAGAGAAAAATGATGGTAATCTGTTTATTGTTCACAATAACCACGAGAATTTGGGACATAGAGTCCGCATTAGTTGCATTGGCCCCAGGTCCATGGCAGAGTTTCAGTATGAAGTTTTGGCTAGGTTTCGAGGAAGCACTCTAATATTGCAATCTTTTTCCAAGATCATTCAAGGCCATTATGCTGATGCTCCTTCAAATGCGTTCCTTTTGATTCCTTCTGGTTTTTTTGGCCCTCTACAACTGAAACTGGATATTCGCATTAAGTCACATTAAACCTTGGATGCAGATCGAAGGAGGCTGCATTTTGGTTGGTTTATATCTGTATGTGTTCTCTTTGTTTAGTGTTTAGCTTATCAATTTGTATGTAGCACAGTTGACTTTTGTAAAACAAGTTGCTGTCACCAAGCAGGAACTGAAGAACTTCTCAATAGATTTGATCACGTAAATACGAAGCATGTGTAAAATCTATTATGACATGTAAATTTGTTCGTGTCTCTTAAAATATACAAAATGTGTTGATAAGTGACTTTTTTAGGCATTTTTCTTTTCTCTATTCATACCCTGATAGGCTGTTAAAATGCAAATATTGTTGCTGGATAAAAGTTTTTGCTCAGTCACATTACGCCGAGTCTTTCATTCGATAACGGTATTGTGGTAACGAATTTTACTTGATAGTGGTATTATGGTAACAATTTTTACTTCATATACTTGGCATTCTACTGTAAAATTCGTTGTTTTGAGGAAGGTTTTCAGTAAGTATTTCCAAGAAAAAATGTTTTATCAAAAACTTTTCAAGATAAATGTCACGTTAATGGTTATGGAAGGTTACCGGACCCCAGAGAATATGCTTACAGAATGGATTTTCTGAAAGTTAAGAAATTCACTGCAATGGATGTAACAAACTCTTATCAGCTCTCAGATTGGAAAGTTACGTTTATAAATGATAATTCTTTAAAAACAAGTTAAATATTATAATTCTCCTGATCTTATGCAGTGCTCGAGTTTGGAATTTAGATTAGAGTAAATATTATCCGTTACCTATAATTTTCATTTTCATGATAAACATACAGCGTTTAGTCACTACATTGTGAGAATATTGCTTTAGGGAAAACATTTTCAATTCCTCAGAAGTCACAACTCTGGGTGGTCCAGTGCGCGAGTGATATCGGCCTCTGGATGGTCCAGTGCTCGAGTTTTCCATCTAATGACATCGGCCTCTGGGTGGTCCAGTGCTCGAGCTTTCAATTAATGATATCGGTCTCAAGGTCTCTTCATCGGAGTCTCCTCCTATCGTAAGACTTATCTTTAACCCTTTTCTTCAATCATATCCTGTCATTTCACTGTTGGTATCCTCGTATCATACATGTTATTTAACTTCTATTTAGATAGAGAAATGAAGAGAGGAGAGAGCAAAATCTAGACTGATGATAGAAAGACAAATTAATGTACATAGATAATAGAAAGAGATAAATGAATGTTAATGAAGTGTTTGAGGTATAAGTGTTGATACATGATTACTTTTATATATATATTAATATTTTGTGATGGACTATATTTTAGCTTTGAGCTTCGAGTTCTGTTTTCTGATTCTCACCCATTTGTCTACTTATTTTTCCTTTGTCTCATCCATCACTTTGGTCCCTCTTTTTCTACCTTTCTTCTCTTCTGGTTTTGTTCATTTGTCAACATCCAGTGAAAGCAATTTGAGCTGCAGCTCTGGAGGGGTGGGGCACTGAAAGCTTGGATGAAGAAGGTCCTGATTAATAAAGAATTATTTCATTTTAAAATTGAGTAATTAATGGACAAATTTCTCTTGCTCTACAGTAAAAGGAAGCTGAATGAGTAAAGAGAGTTATATTTTTCCATCTTTTGAGACCCCAAAACCGTTTTCTTCCAGTGACATACTTTTGTTGCTACGTACACTATCTTGGCTTATGTGTATGATACAAATTTCACATAAATTGTGTCTAAGTTGGGTTTGGCAGTTCAATTCTTCTTAGAAACCTGTTTGAACATATTTTTTAGGCAAAGACGTGATAAAGTACTACAAATATTAATCAACATACAATCCATTTCATTATTAATGTAATCTAAGAGGAATAGAAAGGATACACGTAAAAAGGAACAAAAGATGTTATGAAACAAGATGGTTTGCCAAAGATGTGCATACTAAAACCACCCTATAAAGTAGCAAGAAAAAAACACCTTACGCTGATAATAAATACACATATAAAAACACTACTGCAACTACGAAGACAGGGTGAAGTCGGTAGGATATTAAAACCAAGAGCATGAGAACAGAGATGACCCATCCCCACGGCATTGATGATGATTCTGACTCCACATCTTCATCATGCAAAGGCATCACACTTGGTGCAGGAAGCACGAGGCGTGTTCCTTGGGCAATGAGGGTCAACACCAGAGGCAAAAACAAGAGGAACAAGGTCACGTTGGTCGTGGCGATCTGCATGGCTAAGTAGTTGTTGTTCAACTGTGATGATAACCATAGCCAGAACACCACTATGCCAACTAGGGCGAGTACTGGCAGAGGAGGAAAAGATAACAAAGTGTTTCCTGGCCACGCTTTCTTCCATTCTGGTTCCCTTCTCTCGTTCAGAGCAGAAGCCATTTCTCTGTCAACCTCTTTTGTTAAAGTAGTGGAAAAGAACGGGATCCGCTTTGGACTTTTATTCAGTGGAACAGTGTGAGTGATATATACACACACACACACACACGATGCTTTAAATGAGGCAGAAGATATCAGAAACAGATAAATTTGAATTGAAGCAAATCTAATCTGGCATATAAGTCAGAAATTTTCTTATTATAGAAGATAAGATTTATAAATCTGAATTATATAACTACCATAAACTTTTAACTATTTTAATTTAAATTTGTTAATTTTTAATAATTCTTATTTTGTAATAACCAAAATAATTTACCTTAGAAAGGATCAAATTCTTCCAAACAATAATTACTCATCATTTAGCATTGTTTTAAAAATATAATAGTAATAGTGAATAAGTAATGTTAATAATAAATGGAGGTGTAACTCACAATAACTGATCTCTCATTTTCATGTATATGACAAGGAGAAACATAGAGAAGATCGAAGTGAATTGTATTAAACTTTTTTTATCCCATGGCTGAGTCGGTGAGCCGGTGGACCATGGGAGAAAAACGAGTGGGCGAGGCTTCTTTAGGATTCAATGAGGTTGATGTCCAAATCTTTCTGAATTTTCTTATTTTAGGATGTCAGAGAATATGAAATTTGAGGGTGAAAATGGCATGTTCTTGAAAAACATTGGACATAAGTTGGCACAGATGGCTAGGTAGGGAGGTGCGGAAAGGGCTTTAATTTAGGATTTTTGTCCACCGAGTTGGGTTTGTGACGTGTTTGAAGGAGACTCAAATGCATGCACTGCTTAATATGAATTAATTGTTTGAGTTTGATGTGTCTCCTTGAAGTGGTGACACTTGGAGCTTTTACCCTTTTTAGCAGGAGAGGTCTGGAAGCTACCATTGGAAGATCATTGTCGTTTGTTTTTTTAGTTTTTAGCAAATGGAATGAATATATTTGAAGACTCATAATATCACATCACATCCCATTATATTAATATATTACTAATATGTTGAAAAACCTAAAATAATTTCACATTACCATATATATTCTTAAAATCACTAAACTTCTTCCCATTGTTACAATAAAAGATACAAAGAAACGAATAAATTAAAAAAATATAAGTTATTCATATTATACATCTTTAATTATACTAATATTTTAAATAACATAAATAAATTAGTAATGTTTTTAATTATTTATTTTAAAAAATTATTTTAACTTTAAAGAAACTTATTCATTGATAAGTTTTTCTGACCTTATTCTTTTCTTGCCACAATTAAAGATATCTATATTTACAATATATTAACATTGTAGAAAAATACAAAATAATTCCACAATAAATACTAATAAACAATAAATTAATAAAAACTATGGACTTTTTTTACTTAATTAATATTTTTTAAAATTTATTAAAATAAATAAATTTTAAAAATTATGAATTAGGATAAATAGTACTAAAAGACTTTAACGTAAAGAAATTGAGGTTTATAACACGATTTCAATTTTTTTTAAAGAAATCGTGCTCCGATTTTTATATAAATTTTATATAGATCTCTATATTTCTAATTTATATTATAATAATTAATTATATGATTATAACTCATAATAATAATAATAATAATAATATATTTTATATTATTAATAATAAAATAAATAATAATGATAATAATTAAATTTATATTATTATTTTAAATTAATATTTATTTTATTATTTTTGTTAATATTATATTATTAATATAATAATAATAATAATAATAATACAAAAGATATAATTAAAATTATTATATTATTAACATTATTTAATTTTTTTAATAATAATAATAATATAATTATAATTATATAAAATAATAAGATAATTATATTTACAATTATAATGCTATTATTTATTTATATATTTATTATCATTATTATTTAATAATAATATACTTTTATTAATAATCATTCATTATTAATATTGATTTATTATTAATATTAAATACCAATAAGCAATAGAATTATAATTATTAATATAATTATCTTATTATTAATATAATTTTTATTAATATAATAATTAATACAACTAATAATATAATTATTAATATATTATTAATTTTATTAATAATAATTAATCATGAATATTATTTTAATAATAATAATAATAATAATAATAATAAATGATAGAATTATAGTTATTAATATAATTATCTTATTATTAATATTATTTTTTATTATTATAATTATTAATACAATTAATGATGATATAATTATTAATATAATTATAAATTGAAATTTAATTATTATATATATATATTAATAATAATTATTATATTTAATAATAATAATTTTTATTAATAATCATTCATTACTAATATTATTTTATTATTATTATTAATACTAAAATAATAATAATAATAATAATAAATAAATAAATAATAGAATTATAGTTATTATATAATTTTCTTATTATTAATATTATTTATATAATTTTAACTATATAATAATAATTATTATTAATATTATTAATAATAAAATAAAAATAATATTAATAATTATAAATATATTATTTTTCATAATATTGATATTATTTTATTATTAATAATATAAAATATACTATTAATAACTATAATGATATAATAATAATTATTATAATATAAAATTAGAAGTCACAATTTCTCTATAAATGTATATAAAAGTTTTCTTACTATTTGTTTTTTTATTTTTTTGTAAAATAAAAAATTTAAAACTGAAATAGTTAAGCACAACTTTTTGTATTAAAGTCGTGTTTTTAATACAATTTACTTAAACTTGTATTTTTTAAAATTTATTTAATATATTTTTAAAAAAATTATACCACCTAAATAAAAAAAACCACGAACAATTATATAACTAAAATAATATATATTATTATAATTATCAGTTATATCCTGTCGTAGTCTATAAGAGCAGTTATTTATTTATTTATTTATATTTAATAATAAAAAATATTTTAATAAAGTTGAACGATTCTTCTATCCAGAAAACATGTTTAAGCAATGTTTTATTCATTTGACCATAGACTAACTAATATTATTATAAGTGTTTTCTTAAAGAAAACATACAATATGAGAAATTGTTTAATATCTGTACGTCAAAATTGTACAAAAACATACAATATGAGAAAGAGGGGTTAACAAGAAACAGAGGAGTAATATAAAGTGAATGATGTAATGAGAAGTTATCATAAAAATAATAATAATAATAATAATAATAATAATAATAATAATAATAATATAGAATTTATTTATTTTAAACTCAATTATCAACTGGTGGCTGCATTATTGAAGATAATATAAGTTATTTTACAAGATTATTTATGTTCAGATATTCCATGGGTGTTTTACGTGCTTGACTTGTGCACCGTATATTCAACCCCAGGTTATTGTAGTTAATGTCGAGTTCACATCACATGCTTATTAAATAAAAGACACACAATGACACAGTTCACATTATTGTCTAATGTAATATATAAATAAGAGACCAATGAGAATGATCCCACAGGCAGCATCAGTACCATAACATCAACAAAAATGATGCATCTAAGTTCATTTTTTACTGTTGTTGTAATTGCCCTAGTGTTTTCATTTAAATCTGCTGCAGTTGATACTAATTTAAGCTTTGTTCAATGTCTTTGTACTTATTCACACAACTCCAGTTCAATCTCTAAGGTTGTGTACACCAAAACCAACTCCTCCTATTCATCTATACTGCACATTTCCATTCAAAACCTCAGATTCGCATCCAACAAAACTCCAAAACCTCTTGTCATTATCACACCTCAGGAAGTTTTCCACATTCAAGCTGTCATAATCTGTTCCCAACGCCATGGCTTGCAAGTCCGAATTAGAAGTGGTGGCCATGACTTTGAGGGTCTCTCCTATGTTGCTAAAGTTCCATATGTAGTTATTGATCTCATAAACTTTAGAGAAATTGAAATAAATGTAAAAAATAGCACTGCATGGGTTCAATCTGGGGCCACCGTTGGTGAACTTTACTATAAAATCAGTGAGAAAAGCAAAACTCTTGGGTTTCCAGCAGGTGCTTTCCCAACTGTAGGAGTTGGTGGGCAATTTGGTGGTGGCGGGTATGGATTCTTGCTGCGTAAATATGGCCTGGCTGCTGACAATGTAATTGATGCTCACATAATTGATGTGGAAGGAAGGCTTCTTGACAGAGAAGGCATGGGTGAGGATTTGTTTTGGGCTATTAGAGGGGGTGGAGGTGCAAGCTTTGGAGTCATCCTTGCATGGAAGATAAAATTAGTTCCAGTTCCACCAACTGTGACAGTGTTAAGAGCTTCCAGGACATTGGAACAAAACGCAACCAAGCTTGTTCATAGGTGGCAGCTTGTGGGAAGTAAACTAGATGAGGACACAGGCCTCGGTATTTTACTTCACAGGATAAATTCAAGCAATAATGGGGAGCCAACAATAGAAGCCTTGTTCCAAGCCACATATCTTGGAGGCGTGGATCAGTTCATTGACTTGATGCAAGAGAAGTTTCCAGAATTGGGTTTGAAGAGAGAAGAGTGCGCTGAGATGAGCTGGATAGAATCAGTCCTTTTTTTTGTGGGATTTCAAAGGCGTGAACTTTTGTTGAACAGAAGTCAAACAATAACGGATTCATTCAAGGCAAAATCTGATTTTGTGAGGACTCCCATTCCTGAAGTTGCCTTAGAAGGGTTATGGCAGTTGTTCTATGAAGATGGGGCACAAGGTGCAACGATGATTGTCTTTCCTTTCGGGGGCATAATGGATAACATTTCAGAGTCCGAAATTCCATTCCCTCACAGATCAGGAAACTTGTATTTAGTTCAGTACTCAGTGCATTGGTTAGAAGAAGGGGATGAGGTAGTACAAAAGCACATAAGTTGGATTAGGAGACTTTACAGTTATATGGAACCTTTCGTTTCAAACTCTCCTAGGGCTGCATATGCCAATTATAGAGACCTTGACATTGGAGTAAATAACAAAGGCTTCACAAGCTATAACCAAGCCACCGTTTGGGGTTTCAAGTATTTCAAAAACAACTTCAAAAGATTGGCACATGTCAAAACTAAGGTCGACCCTAGTAACTTCTTCAGGAACGAACAGAGCATTCCTTCTCTTCTCCCTCAGGGACACAAGTAGTAATCCCAGCCCAGGGTACCATTTGTGTACCAACCAAGTTATTTTCCTGGTTAATAACTTGGTTTAACCAAATTTTTTTTCTTTCCATATTTTATCGCTTAAACATCTTTTATTTCCTATGAATAATAAATTATCACCTACTTCACCAATAGATATTTTCAACTTTTTTTTTTCCTCATGTTTTGTGTAATTGTCACGTTGACCATTTAACAATAAATACTTTCCTTTCTTTTACTTTTTGTGCAATGGTCCACTGATAGTTGATATTTAATTTAAATATGTAGTATTATTTTTGGACGTGTCTAAATTATCAACTGGCCAACGAATGTACAAATGTGATGCGTGAGGACAAATTTTCATGGACGATGTAGAAGTAGAATCCTTGATATAGTAAAAACCTACCACTTACCACCTACCACCTACTTAACACTCTTATAAATATTAATAAGTTTTAAGAAGAGAGGGAATAATATATTACAAAATCTTCTATATCTTTTCATTACTAATTTAGGGATCGAATTAATATCATTGTCAGTACCCCTCTTCGGTCATAACTTAAAGACATTCCCTAGTCAAGGACTTACGGACCCGTGAATTTTTCAGACCCGAAGACCGTCAAGACAAGGAAACCGAGCGACTCCAAGCCACAAAATTCGAGAGGTTAGTGTCCACTTTTCCTAACATTTTAAACAAAAGTTACATGATTACATAAAAAATAATAAAATAAATTGGACTTAAAAATCCTAAAAATAAAAAAAATTGAAATTTATTATAAAAAAACATTTTATCTTTCTTTTAGTAAATAAAAATTATTAAATTTGAATTCAAAATAAAACTTATCCATATAATTAGACTTTACAATTTATCAATACATTTTGAATAAAATTACACCGATTTAGTAAAAAACCATTTAATTAAGTATAACGTCAATAAAATATTTTGTTCCTTAAGAGTATAGTTATCTATTAAAAAACATTATTTATTGTAACCAAAGGATTAAAATTACACCGATTAAGTAAAAAACCATTTAATTACGTAGAACGTCAGAAAAATATTTTGTACGTTATCTATAAAAAACATTATTTATTGAAACCAAAGAATTAAAAATTATTAAATAAATAAATATTTAATATAGTTTGTTTTAAATACATGGATTTAAAGTTTTTTTTTCCTTCTGTGAAAACAGTTAGTGGTCTGAATTTGAAAAGATAAAGATGGTCTACGGAACGTTCTTTTGTAGCATTATTTAATTCAATTATCAAGGATTTATTAAGTAGCGAGGATTATAAATTCCGTTTCATTCATAGTATAAAAAAATAAAAACAAGCTTCGTAGTACAAATTCTTTAATGGAAGGTTTAAGATAATAAACAATAAACAATATTATTATTAATATAGTTATGATTATTATTACTTATTATTAACAGTAACAGTAACAATAATATGAATAAAACAATAATATGATAATATTACTTATAATAATAATTACTATTATTAACTATATTAATGGTATAAAATAATAATCATTCTTTATTTTATTAATATTAGTTATTATTATACTAATTTAATAATAATTATTAATTATATTAAAATATTAATAATATAAAAATTATAATTATAATTATTTTATTATATTTAGTTATGATAAAAATCCTAATAGAATAATAATAAAAATTAAAATTACTAAAAGTTAAAAATTTGAAGTGGTATATTTCATTAATATTGAAAGCTGAAGTAAAATACAATGTCCTCATTTTGAAACTGTGGTTCGCAACATAAATTATTTAAATTTGTATTCGTTAAATATACGTATTTCAATGAATTATAAAAAAATTTGCATCAAATGAAAAAGAAAAGGACAAAACTTCTCCCACCACTGTTCTAATAAGAGAAGGAAAAACCTATGGTCTAGTAAGGAATCTGTCGGTGAATGTAATAGCATTATCAATTTAATAATAAAAATGAATATTTTATTATAAGTTTTATATCTGAAAGGCTTAAAAGTGAAAAAATTGTTTAGAAAAAAGTTATTTCAATAAATAATTTTGACGAAGAGAACTCAACTATGAATCCATGATAACTCTATTAATATGTAACTCTAGATTCAAAGCTCGATGCTCTTATAAATTCTGCATTCTCCGTCCCAAAACTGCTTTCGGTATACACAATACAGTATCAACAAAAATGATACGTCAAAGGACGTATTTTACCATTGTCGTCATTTCCCTTTCATTTTCATTTGCATCTTCTTCAGCAGATGCTGAGAACTTTGTTCAATGTCTTTACAATTATCCCCGTACCACCACCTCAATCTCCAATGTTGTTTACACCAAAACCAACCGTTCATACTCGTCTAAACTAGATTTTTCCATTCATAATCTTAGGTTCAAATCAAACACAATCCCGAAACCCCTCGTCATTGTCACACCGCTGGAAGTTTCCCACATTCAAGCCACCATAATCTGTTCCCAACGCCATGGCATGCAGATTCGAACCAGAAGTGGAGGCCATGATTATGAGGGTGTCTCGTACGTATCCAAGCATCCATTTGTCGTCATCGATCTCATAAACCTTCGAGGAATCCAAGTACACGTACAAAAACGCACTGCATGGGTTCAAGCTGGGGCAACCGTTGGTGAACTTTACCACGGGATTAGCAAGAAAAGCAAAACATTGGGGTTCCCAGCAGGTGTGTGCCCCACTGTGGGCACTGGTGGCCACATAAGTGGAGGTGGGTATGGATTCTTGATGCGCAAGTACGGTCTGGCTGCTGATAATGTAATTGATGCTCAAATAGTTGATGTCAAGGGTAAACTTCTTGACAGAAAAGCCATGGGTGAGGATCTGTTTTGGGCCATTAGAGGAGGTGGGGGAGCAAGCTTTGGTGTCATCGTGGCTTGGAAGGTAAAACTAGTTCCAGTTCCATCAACTGTGACAATGTTCAATGTTGGCAGAAGATTGGAAGAAAATGCAACTGAGATTATTCACAAGTGGCAGCTTGTGGCAAATAAACTTGACGAGAACCTAATGATTAGAATAAACTTGAGAAGGGTAAATTCATGTCAAACGAGGAGACTAACAGTACAAGCTGATTTTGAATCCGTGTATCTTGGAGGTGTAGATCAGCTACTTCCCTTGATGCAAAAGAGCTTCCCAGAGTTGGGTTTGGTGAGAGAGGACTGTACTGAGACGAGTTGGGTTGACTCAACTCGCGTAAGGGCTGGATTTCGAAGGGATCAATCCCCTGATGGTTTGTTGAACAGAACTCAATTAAGTGTTGTGTCATTCTTCAAAGGAAAATCTGATTATGTGAGGGATCCCATTCCTGATGTTGGGTTAGAAGGGTTATGGCCTTTATTTTTTGAAGATGAGGCTGCAGATGCTTTTGTTCAATTCACTCCTTATGGAGGACGGATGTATCAGATTTCAGAATCTGAAATTCCATTCCCTCACAGATCAGGAAACATATTTCAGATTCAGTACGGGGTGTATTGGCATGAGCAAGGGAAAGTGGCCTCGCAAAAGCACATGAAATGGATTAGAAAAGTGTATAAATATATGGAACCTTACGTTTCAAAGTCTCCCAGAGCTGCATATATGAATTACAGAGACCTTGACATTGGGATGAATAACAATGACCACACAAGCTATGACCAAGCCAGCATTTGGGGTGTCAAGTATTTCAATAACAACTTCAAGAGATTGGCAACAGTGAAGACCAAGGTTGATCCTCAAAACTTCTTCACAAACGAACAGAGCATACCTTCTTTGTGTAAGAGACGCAAATAGAATTCCTTAATGTCATTAAAAAATAAAGTCACTGTTGTTTGGATTATTATATATTGAGAACCATTTTTCTTAAACACCCTTTCAATATATTTTTATATTATTATTTAAAATGTTATATATGAAAGAAAATATCTATTATACAACTTTATTTATTAATATTATATTTATAAAGTAATTAAAATAAAATTAATTAAAATTATTATTTTACTTTTATGCAATGCAGCATTCCTTTTATTATTTTCGTCACGCATCACACTTTTCTCCTTTTGGGATCATCTCGTGGTCAAATACCTTAAATGATCATACTCTACTTGTGAAATTCCTCAGATCAAAATCAGTTGAACCCATACAAATTTAGTCTTAATTTTCAATGCTCATCTTCATGGAGGTTTACAACATATCATTATCTAACACGTAGATGATCGATTCATTGAGATCTGTGCAAAATAAATTTATTCTACAGCAAATAGGTATTTCTTTCTACTTTACTTATTTTTGCAATTTTACATTGATTAGGTATATTCCACCTATGTAAAAAGTTAAAATTTAACTTCGCAATGGTATTTAATCCAAAAATAGTTGATTTATTGATTAATTAGTCGGCATATTGAATTATTTAGTTTTAATCTTTTAAAATATGGCTCACAGGTGTTTATGCATTGTATTACATCATAGTTGCACTCGTAACTTACGATTTCTTTCTTATACTTTCAATATGTGTAAGAGAAGGATTTGAATAGAGGTCTTTTAATTATTATTATATATATATATATATATATATATATATATATATATATATATATATAAAGTTACCAATGGAAAACATTACATCATTAAATTTATATTATTGACAGAAAATATGCCAATGATGTCGAAAATTGTAGGAAATTGTCTTTTGTCGGAAAATTAGTTAAAAATTTACAAATGATTTATTAGAAAATAATTCACTATTATGTAAGTAACAAAAATATTCTGTTGATAATGTGAATAAAATCGTTGATAAACTATATTTTACATTATTATTATTATTATTATTATAATAGTTAAATTATTCAATAAAAGGAAACTTGTAAAAGTAAATGATAAAAAAATTGTAAACAAAAAATATTAAAATACATATCAACCATGTAGAAAACAAAGTTAATCCAAATATTACTATAATTAAATATTTCTTACTAAGTTAGTAACAACAAATTTAGTTTTTTATATATATAATATTCATATTATAAATTATAATATAAATTGAATATTCAAAAATTTTGTTTTCTATTATAAATTGTAATTCTATTTATTGTGTGTTAGTGTAAAGTTTATCTCTAATTTATGTTAATATTGTTTGAAACTGAAATAAATTAATTGATAGTTAATATTAATAATAATAATAATCTATATTCATTATTTAATTAATAAATATTAAATTATTAATTATTTAATTGATCAAAATTTACTTATTAAATCTCAATAAATAATATTATAATCTATTAATTAATAAACATTAATTAATTAATTATTTAATAATTAAATAGTAATATATTAATTAATAATACATTATTTATATCATATGATTAATTTTAGAAATGGTTACTTACCAGACAAATCATTATCTAATGGATGTTAGTAACGTAGGAACCAAATAAAAAATAAAATAATTATTGAGAACCAAAACAGAAAAAACAAATTATCATGGACTATAGATAAAATTAACCAATTTACAAAAAAAATAAAAAATTATTAAACCTAAATATTAATATAAGCTTAAATAATTTATATTATATTAAATTTGTATAAAACCTTCATCTTCTATTCACGATCCTGCCAGAATTGCTATAACATAGTGAGTGCGTATGTAACATAGAGATTAAAGTTTAGACCGTAAAAAACCTTTGCACGATCAATTATACAACATTTTAGCCATGGCGAGAATGTTTCACACCTATATTAACCCCACAGTCCCACCACCATTTAAAAGCTTCACATTCTAATTAGCTTCATTAGGAGGAAGTAGCTTAGTTGGACGTGGATGTTCTCACAAGATGACGACGACACTTTTACATATGATTGTTGAGGTGATGGCCGTGTTCATCATTCACCAATTTAAGAAATTGATTTTAGAATGAAAATATGTTATAATATTAAAATAATTTTCGTATTATATGATTTGAAACGTTTATCTTTCATAATTTTGTAGATATATCAATGATTAAAAAATATAATATTTATAGTTTATTCTTAATTTGATTTATAAATTATATGATAGTTATGTACACATTAAAATATAACACTCAAATAAATTATAAAGAATTAAGAACAATAATGGGTAGTATGGGATGTCATGGGGCACGAGGATCTGATAACCATTCAGAAATTTTTAATGTATTTTTAAAATTACACATACCTATTTTTTTTAACTTTTTCTTTTCTTTACATAGAATGTATTTATTGATCTTCTGTCCGATGAGGGATATGATCGAAAAATAGGATATGATGAAAAAAAAATTCTTCAGGTGAGGGAGTGTGGAAAAAAAAATTTCCTTAAGATGAGGATGTGATGAAAAAGTTTACCTCAAGATGAGGAGGTATGATAAAAAAAAAAATTCCTTCTTAGGATGAGATGATGTGATAAAAAATTCTTAAGATAAGAATGTGAGATAAATTTCACATTAATTAGATATACGATAACATTATAATATATACGTGAGTATAATTCTTACCATACTAAGTTGGCTTCGTAGGTCGACTTATGTATCTCACAATTTTTGAGATAGTATCATGGTCAACTCTAGTGATGTTGAGACATAAAAATTCCTCTCAAGGTAAGGGAGTTTTATGAAAAAAAAAAAATCTTCCTCAACTCCAAGATGATGAGTAATGATAAAAAATCTTTTTTAAGGTGAAGAGGTGCAATAAAATCTCACATTAACTACAAATACAATAACATTACAGTAGATATAGGTGCGTACAACCCTCACCATACCAAGCTGATTTATTTGTTTTCGATTTTACCATGGATGCAAATGTTCTATCTAAAAATAATTTTTGACCTTTATTCTTTTTGAAACTCTAATTCATAATGATTTTATTTTTAAAAGACATCTAAGTGGGTTGAGAATGACATTTATAAATTATCTTTAATCTCGATTTTTAAGCGATGAATATTATATGTGTAGAAGCATGATGTGTGAGAAAATTCTTGTTATAAAAGGAGTATAGTGTTTATTTTGTAAATAATCCAAAAATCACTTTTGTCTTTATTATTTTGTTTTAGTGCCTAAGGTGAAAAAATTACTCAAAGGATAAATAATTTTTTTTTCTTACGGTTCTCTATGTATACTAATTGTCTCTTAATGTATACCAATTATGTTTTAGTAAAAAATACATTTAATTGTGTTTATTAGTGAGTCACATATCTTTCTCTAATACTTCTTTGATGTATTACTTATGATGTACACCATTATTCTAGTAAGGAATATTATTGATAATGAATGGTGTATAAATCAGTTAAAATCATGACAACAAAATATAAAATAAATAAGACTATAATAAATTTGCACTTAACATTGAGATATGTTGTTTTGTCCAACATTGTGGAAAATGATACACCGAATGAGATTTGATAATTCCTCATCAAATTGTACAAGGTGAAGTCAATTAATACAAGAATATTCTTGAAGAGAAAACTCTATATTCTTTAAATGAGTGAATCAATATACGGTGATGGACCACATCAATAATCTAAATACATTATTTACTCAACTTTTAGTGACAAATTTTAGCATAGTGAAAATGAGTATGTAGAAGTTCTACTTCAGAGTTTATTAGATTTGTATGATCAACTCGTCACCAATATAACAAATAATAATATTAATGAACATCTACACTTTGAAGGTGTTGTCAAAGTTATTCTAATGGGGAAAATATGGTTGAAAGTTGAAATCAAGCAGAGGTTTTGATAATAATAAGAAGTAAATTAACGAAATATGATTCTAGTGAGAATCAAAATCATGATGGATCAAATTCTTGGAGAAGGCTCATATGCTACTATAGTGGTAAGAGAGGACATGCGAAAAAAGATTGTTAGCTTAAGAATAATGGAGAAAAGAATTCTAAATCATCGACCTCACAAGGTTGTGTTACTAGTACCTTACACTAGTGCAAAAATGGGCTTTTACGTCAGGTATTTAAATTGGGTTGATTCTGTTTTACAACTAAAACCTGCAAATATATATTACAACCAAACAGTCCAGAGGTTCAATTTTCTTTAGCTAGTAAATTAAAAATATAATATTATATAATTCAAACTACATAATAAAACAATATAATACAAACATACAAACTAAAAGTTAATACAAACTAAGCTACCTAAACTACATAATACACACAATATAATATGAACAAGAACTTAAAAAATTATGTACTAGAATTGTTGAACAAAAAATTTTGCCCATTATTCTCTAATTTGTGTAATATCATATTCTGGTAATGGAGATGAATCTTGAAATACATGAAACATTAATTTGACTCTTGTAAACATGCAACATGAATAAAGTTAAATAAACTTAACTAATGTTAAAAGCAATTACCTCCGTCCAAGAATCAATTATACCCACACAAACTATGGCTCTCATCCAATACATAACATAGTAACCATATTTAAACGAGTCTGTTTGCTTATTACACTGAAATGATGAAAAAAACATAATGTTATTTTCAAAATTTAAATACAAACAATAATTATGGTATTCACTTATATAAATAAGTTTCTAACCTTAGGATAAATGAACTGCAAAGTCTTTGTTCTAGGTTTTCCACTTAGAACATTAGTTCCGAACCACGATTCTAAGTGAAAAAAAGTCATATATTATTCAATATGTATTTACAATTTAAAAGCATAATTAATGAATAAAAGATAAAGTTACCCTTGTAATAAGTTTTTCATTTCTTGACTCGGTTTCCGATGTAATGAACAAAACTACACCACAGTGTAATCCGGGGTATGATTA